ATCAGGAAAAAACTCTTGTAACTTTTTTTTTAATTTTGCAGTAAGATAATTTGTATACAATTATTGAGTAATGATATATACTAACCGGATTTCCAGCATTTCTTCATGTTATCTCCCGTGTTATCTTCTTCTACCAACGATTTAGAAGCTCATTGTATATCTTGTTCATAAAAAGTTTGAGAACAAGTTCAGCTCATTGCCCTCATTCTTCTCTACTTCTTCATTGTTCTTATCTAAGTGATTTTTTTCTATGGCACGAATAAACAATAGTCACAAGGGTAAAAATCTGGATTATGATAAGGGTATTCGAGGTACTTCTAGTAAATTTATTGCTGCTTGAGATAAGGACTAGATGCCTCTCGTCATGGAGAAGAACATTTCTGTGAGTGATATTGGCCAAATGGGAAAAGTTCATCTGATTCTGATCTCTTTAATAATAAATTTGTGATCACGTTCAACAAGTTCTGGAAAGGCACAAATGTTGTCATCTGTAAGATGTCTTAGGTCTTGATCATGACTTTCATTTCTGACCCATTATACCATTCAGTTATGGGAATAGTGCTGTCTTATATTTTTACTTTCACTTACGTATATATGTAATGTATAGTATGGGTAAGTATTGCAATCGTGAAAAACACATTTTTACAATTTTCTCAAAAACGGCTCTAACTATTTTGATCAAACTCGGTTTATCATTGTATAATTAAGTGGTCTTTAATATCATGTAGGTCTTATCCCCGTTGATGTCACATTACAGGGCTTTAATGCCCATTGTTCATATATGTCTTCCTCTAAAGTACCTTTAATATGGTTTATTTAAAAAAATTAACTATTTCACATTATTCAGAGTTATGAAAAAATGCTACATATAACTTTTGAAAGAATTTGATAAGTTAATAAAGGAGAAAAAAAATAAAAATGCAGAAAAACCTGTGTTGCTATAGACTATAGCGCCTAAACGAATGTACCGATTTCAATGAAACTTTGCTTAAGTCATTTTCTCGATGCCCTTTAAACTTATCTATATAACATACTTCAACGAAAAGAATCTAGAAAAAAATTTACGAGGGTATTATTAAAATTAAATTCCGAATAACTCAAAAAGTATAAGCTTTTTGGGGATAGTGTATGGTTTTTTTAAAGTTTATAGAATTTCCTAAAAAATCGTTAAAATCAGACAATTAGGAGGAAACATATGGTCTCAAGTTGTAGTTTTTTTTTCCGTGAAGAGGCGAAAATTTGGATAAATTTAAAATATATTTTTTTAAGTGTTGAGACTAAAAAACCTCTTTTCTACAGATATTTAATAAAGAGTCTTTCCTAAGAACATCTTTCATAAGAAATAAGTACCTAAATTTAGACCTTTATTCTTAGTTCTATATTTCAACACCACCTCTGGAATCAACTTACTCATTGTCTGCGTAGATAACTTTTTCAACTAAAAATATCATTAAAATGACATCACTCAAAAATGTTGAAATTGGAGTTAGTCATTCTGTGGTTTATAAAACCAAAGAAAGTTGTGTAGTTTATAAAAGCAGATGGAGTGACTAGATTTTTATCGCCTGTCGTCAATATATTAAATAGACATTTTGTAATTATAATGGTCTTAATGCTTTGTTATCTGTAAGCTTTAGCGCTGTTTAAAATTCACCTCAAAAAAATTTATAATAGCCCAGCATTGCCAGAAAATAATTTCTATTCAAAGTAGATCGGTAAGTGAAAGTTGTGTGTTGCGGCGCACCATTTTTTTTTTTCTTGAAATGAGTAATTTCCGAGAGTTTGTCGTCATTGGTTAATAACTTTATAATTATGCCTTGTGCAACATACAAATGTACCTGATGCTTGGTCATAGGTGTATTGAGGATAGGAAGGATCGAAAATAGTAAAACATTGCTCGGGAGACAACATTAAATTTTTTTATAATTATTGTATGTGTATAGCATTCATCAATGAATGGGAAAAAAAAGTTACCATTAATATTATTGTCTTTATTTCTAGCCTCTTATTACCTGATAACAATTGCTTCTCCCACTATTTTTCTGACTTAGATTTTCTTGTCTGTGTGGGGCAGACTGTTTAATAATCGCCAAAACATGACTTTTTTGTTATCCTCTGAAGAAGTGATAATTTTGTTGTTAAGTGCATATATCGTTCCATGGTTTCAAGTTCATAATCATCTGCCTTAACCAATCTTTTCGATCAGTAGCATTAATGCTCCAACTTATTGGTCTGAAGTCATCCTTTACTCGTCCTTATTTTCTTCTTAAAGTGTCAATATGAATATGTTGTCATTTTTCATGTTCGTGTTTAATTTGGTCCACTACGAAAATGATATTTTTGGTTTTATAATAATGACTAACTTAATTCTATTAATCCTTAAAAAAATATTGTAGCTTTATTTTAAAAATTTAGGACACTTAATTAAGCTATTTTAGTAATTTCTTCGTAGTTTTCATATTGGTTCTTAAAATTGTTTATAAATTGCATTAATTACTCAAGGTAGCTGTTGTAGAAGTTTTTTATAAAACAATTAAATTATTTTGAGTATCTTTAGTTCATAATCATGTTTTAATTTCAACTTCATTTCTATGAAAGAATTTTATAAAAATCTTCAGGTGATTGATATAGATTGGCTTGGGAATTAATTATTTTTTCCCTATTTAATCAATCAGTGAGATGTTATTAAATATTTTTCATGAGAATATAAATGTATTATCACTTACGTTGTCAATTGATTTTGTAAACCATTGTAAGTTTTGTTATTCTTAACTCATCGCTAGGGAACAGATTTTAATTTTTTATGTACATACATACAAATATATATAATGTAAAACAATATTCTCACAAATATGAAAATAGAGAGGCCATTGTGACCTAGTATGTTATGGTATCACCTTAGCATAATCATAAGGCCTTTTTTTCCATAGCTATCACACCAAAAAAATCACTGTCTCCGTAAAAAGCATCATAAGAAAATTGAGGAATTTATTTTGAGACTTGAGCCTTAAAGCTAGATTAGATTAGCATTTTGACAGATAAGAAAAAAATTGTTTTCTTGAAGGTGTCTCCATATAAGGGATACAAATTAAATTATTTGCCGAAAATCTAATTAGTATTTCTGGCTTAAGCACTTACCAACATTATAAATTTTATTTTATGGCTAAGTATGGACAAAAATGGGTAATATCTCCTCTTTTGAATATGTAAAATAAAAAATTATGTGTGAACAAGGCTTTAAAAAAAGATGTAAATACATAAGTATTTTATATTTGTTTTTGGCAATGTACCATTAACAGATGAGTTTTTTGCAGTTCAAGCCTGCACTGATTCATGGAAGGGAGATCTTTTCTCCAAAAGGCACTATAAGAAACAGAATCAGGAGATTTACAGAGAATTCCTTTTCATGATTAAAGTTAATTAAATTTAATTAACTCTAGGTGGGATGAAAATAACTTCATGAAAAGTGGCAGGCTGTTAGTAATATGTACAATGAATGAATAAATATGTACAATACAGTGAATTGAACGACCATCTGTTGGTAGATAATGTATAAATAAAAATGAGCAGACCATATAAATTAATAGTACATAGTGATATTAAGGTTTGCAAAGGTCATCATGAAATATTTGAAAAACTTATAAAATCTGCTAATTCAAGTCATCACTGAAATAGTTTATTTTAATGTGTGTAGCCTCATATTATTAGTTGGCAGATTACTGCTACTCAATACATTTTAAATTCAACTGGGTGTATAATCAGTTACCAATTATAATTTTATTTTTCCCTTGCCAAATCATATATGAGTGTACAGCATGAAAATATAAATAATTTGTATTTCCCTAACAGTGTTATACAATGTGAAGTTGTCCCAAAATATTTTCTGAACTTAATAATTAGTACTTCTGTTTTATTTTTATAAAATTTTGCTATTGTGATAATTTGGTTTTTTCCTTAATTGAAATAACTATTATGGAAATCAAGTGGTAGGATATAATTATCTTTTCTTGTTTCTAGACTAAAACTTTTTTTTTTTTTTAAGAACTTATAGCAAAATATTTTAAGATTTGGAAAAAAAAAAAATTTGATAGTAAAAATTACAATTTAGTTCAAGATGAAAGTTGTGCAAGATGAAAAATCAGAAGTTTTAATTTTTATTTAATTTAAAACTTATGATATGTTGATTACGAGCTAAAACCTTGCTCTAGTGTTATCATTAGTTTATTTACTAACCAGCATCTGTTTATTTACATTTTGGTCCGATTCAGTTTGTTAATTTATTTTGAATATTTCTTCCTGAACAGTAGATAGATCTGAAAATAATTAGAATTTAATATTTCAGCAAAATTCATTTATATCTTATTTAATACTTACATTCACTTTTTTCACTACCAGGTATCAGCTATGGGAAAAACTATTTGCCTCTCAGGTTTCCTTGGTTTGGATATACCTGCACCTCATGGCCCACTATGGATTTTAGGAGATGTCTTCATTGGTAGGTTCTACACTGAATTTGATTTGGGAAATGATAGAGTTGGCTTTGCCCAAGCTCGGGAGTGATTAAATCCTTCAGCCCAACTGCAATCAGAACTATTCATTTTGTAATATTTAAAAATATTAGTTTGTATAGATACTTGGGATTTACCAATTTTATTTTGTTTAATAAAGACTTCCTATAGTGTGATATTTGTTATTATTTTATTAACCTCATTAGTAAGGCCTGCGAATGAATTTGCCTTATTGAGTAACCAGCTGAAATTTTGTTTTCAAGTTACTATTTTATACATCTTTAAAATAATACTGCATTCACTAGGAAAGGAAAAGGATATTTATGTAGGAACAAAAGATGTATATAACTTAATTTTATTAATATTTTTTTTATGAACAAATCTTGCCAAATGTAATAAATATAATAAGGAGTAAATATTATTTACATGAATTGGAAAATATCTAATTTTCTGAAGAAAATAACAGATTTTATAGAACATAATAAAAAAATTTGCATCGTGAATTAAAATTATTTCAATAAAAAAAATAACATAAAATAATATCTTTTTAAATAAAAATAAATAATGCATGTAACTAACAATAAAGCTATCATTCAATGTGCTACTTATACTCAAAATTCAGTAGAATAAATAGCGCATCTCAAACCAATATACAATCACAAACCCTTATTTATAATTACACTTCAATAAATCACCATACTGAAGAACAATGATATATTAAGGTAGTTACATCAAAAAATTTATGTACATAATTATATTACATTTTTCACAAAAACCACCATTATAACATCTTCATGTATTAAAAACTATACAAAACTTATTTTTATAATAAATATGTATATATACATCAATACACTTAATCATTACCCATTCAAAGAAAGACAAAAAATATGGAACCCATAAAAATGCTACAATAAGATGCATATGGGAGAATAGGATTTGAAATAGTTTCAATCTATTAAATGAATAAAAATGTGGCATTCACTTCACAATCCAGATTAGTTTTTTTCAATTATTGTTCTTCAGTCAGAAATTAATTTAAATAATTGTATGTCATAAGAATAATCATCTTGATAAAATTTTATTTTTCTCCTAACGGTGATAAGTTCAAATCAGTAAAGTTTCCAGTGAAGAAATAAGGTAAAAAAAACTTACCCAACATTTTCTCTTTCATGATAATTTATAATCATTCATTTTTTTCAATTACAATAGCACTTCTTTTATTTCATTTATTTTTTTATTTTAAATAAAAACATCTTTAAGATGTAATTCAAGTTGTAGCCTCATTCTTACCTTGATTAGAATTTAAAATAAATTAATTGTAAAAGTTATACAAAATTGGCGCAGCATTTATATTTAATTGTCTATATTGGTGGATATATAAAATCAGTAACGGGAAATATTTACAGACTTATAAAACCTATTATTTTTCTAAAATAAACTTTTCCTTTGACAGGAACCTCCTTTTTTTTCTTTATTAATTTGAAGTAAATTCGTAATGAATTCAATTTATCTAACTGTGATGGTATGTTGGAATGCAATTCTAAGTTTCATATAACATCCTTCAACTCATAACTCACAACGCAAGCTAAGGTGAGCAATTAAAAAGATATCCACTTCTAAGTTCCACTCTTTATCACTTTATCAGCAATGCACAAGAAGTTTGGTTTTCAAACCAGATCGTATATCGTTCCTTCTAAAATTGTTTCTCAGCACCACATAGTTTGTTTACTGAAAATATTTATAAAAGTGTAATTATAAAAAAAAATATATACATTTAAATAAATTAATAAAGTATGCCAAGAATGTCTTATTCAAAATAGTAAATATTTTACTATTAGTAAAAAATAGTAAATATTAAACAAAGTTTAAAATTTGATAGTTGTTTTTTTAGTACTTCCTAATATTTAATAGAAAACTCATCAGAAGGGTTAAGGTGTAATTTTATGAGTGTTTATCATGTAAGTAGGTTCTGATAAAAAGAATATCATTTGAAACGTAACATTAATATTCTTGGCCAAATAAGGTTTGAACCATCCATACTCACGGTTTGGGTTTTAAAGGTTGAAGAGATTCAGGAGCAGAGAAAGTAGGTGCTTTCCGCTTTTTCTTTAAGTGCCTATATTTTTTAACATATGCTTCAATTAAGCGTTGAATCTTCATGGGATTTATTTCCCCTGATCTACTATGACAAATCTAAAAAGAAAATACAATTCATTGAAACTTAGTTGGATCTTATAATAGCTGCTGCCTATTTCTGAATTTTATACCACATACCTTAGGTACTGATTTTCTAAGAATTTCTTTGTACTCTTCTTTCGTGACATGTTTCTTGGCGTAATGAGGTTTCAGAACCATTTTAACTTCCTCCACCACTCTCTCCTGCCTGTTTAACTTTTTTAAGAACTGAAAATTTATAATAATACACCACTGGCTCATATATATACAAATATATATTAAAATCAATGATACATTCACACTTAAAATTCTTTATTTTTAACATTCAATAAAAATATAAATTTATTATTGATTTTGTTAATGCTTATGAATTTATATTTAAATAATGTGAATGTGGTAGGTAGTGCAGTCTAACATGAAGAAATAGAACTAAAAATAATTTTTTTTTAGCTATATTCATATTTCATGAATGCATTCTAAGAGGTATAGTTAAACGAGTCACTATTATAATTAAAAGAAGTTTATCAAACTCTTCCATTTAAAGAATAAGTTTTACATTTTAAGTAAGTGGGAGGGAGGAAAACAAATCTGTTTTACATGAAAAAATTTAAGTGAAATTAATAAAATTATGCATAATCTTAGAGAATAGATTTTATGTCTTCTGCAACATCTGCATGAGGTTATTGCCTAACAACAAATAGCTATATTGAGTCAGCAATTCCAAGATCCTATCTAAATATTTTTCTAGCATATAGAAAAAAATCCTTCAACATTAGTGTCAGGGAAAAGAAAACAAATGTCTCAGCATATTTTATACCAGTACTCAATGTATTAAGGAGTTAAGTAATTAGAACCACAATAATGCTATGCTATAGAAAAAATAATTTTTAAAACTCATTTCAGTCATAAAACAATGGGAAGTGTGTACCTGTACAAAACAGGTACAATTACACAGGAAATTTCCAAACCATGGCGAATTAAAATAAAAATATGAAGCAATCTAAGGAATATATTTTATAGAACTACTACCACATCTAATAATTCATTACTTGTACTCTTACCTTATCTTTTACCTGCATTTCCACAGCTGAGTTGGGAAGATCATCTAATATTTTCAGCTGATCTTCATCTAGTTTTAAGCCAACTGTTTCTTTTTTGTTATTTCCTGAAAGAAAATTATTCTTAATTAAAAAACCATCTGAATATATGAAATATTAAATTAACTCAAATTAATGCTCTAGTTAAAGATCTGTTTAATTATTGAAATTCAAGATATATATTTCTAGAATTAAGAGGCTTGATGTACAAGAACCATATAAATGCTAAATCATAAATTCTTTCCCGAAAATGGCAATGCATTTTTATGTATGGACAATGTTGCAATGTCGATCAGTCCAAGAACCATGCATAAAAGTAACATAAGTTTTCTTCTGTGTAATAAATAATAGGAGAAATAATACATCATATACTGTAAGAAAATGTGTTGGCTGGTATAGAAATATTTATGAACATAATAAAAAAAATTACTATTGCTTGGACAAAAACAAGATTGAAGATATTTAAAGTCTTGATTGGTGGAGTCACCTCCATTTTTATTTAGTTCCATATGGTTCTCACCAAAATTTATAATAAGAACTGGTTTTGTAGACCTATTAATTACATAAATTCCAAATTTCCATATAAACTAAATTAATTAAATTGTAGACTAAATAGTAAAAAAAACTTAGAAAATACTAATGATAAGTATTAGCCATGTAAAATTGTAATTTTAAATGATATCACAACAGCCTATTTTATCTTTAAATTAATGAAAATTATTTTATTTTTTTGTATGATTGGGTCTTATGAATATTAAAAGAATAAATAAGACCAGCAAAATTAATCAGAATGGATTCAAAGACACCAACCAAAACACCAAGACTAATAAGAGCACTAATAAGCAGTTTTCATTACAATTTTTTAAAAGATCAGGCCTATTAAATTTTTAAATATTATGCCTACACTTATTACATAAAAGTCATTTAATGAATATTGTACAACGGTGAAAGTTTTTTTTTTTTTTTTTGTCTTAGAAATAAGCAAGATCCAATTAATCTTAATTGTTAAGTTTACCGTTATGTTTTGCTACTAGGGAGGAAAAAGATTAATAATATTTCTTATCAGATAAAATTTCTGTTCTCCATTTTAATCAAAACTAATTTTCCAGTATAAATTTGTTTATAATCTATATTTATGAATAGTCACAGGGTGAAGTAGATAACCCTTAACTTACAAGGAAAAGTTATAGAAGTGGGGACACCAATTTCAATGATTTTTTTTTTTGGTAAGGGTGTTCTTGCAAATGCACATTAAGAGCTGCCAATTTTTTTTATTTATATTAATGTTTTCTGCCTGCTCTGCATGGATTTCTAATTTATTCAATCAATATATTTTTTGAGTAAAATACAAATAAATAGCATATTGTTATTTATATTAAACAAATTGTAATATATAATATATTAACAATAACCCAAAGAAGTTTCCAGTACAGTAGACTAAGTAAATTTTTGTCACAAAAAACAATTCAGATTCATTTTTAGCACCCACTCCTAAAATACGAGTTTGTTTTGAAATCAAAAAATATAAATTTTTCAAGTCAAAGGATTTTCTCCTAAGTGGACGTTACTGCTAACATTGGAAAGCTGAATTATTGGTCTTTAAAACTATATCAAGAAGTTATAGATTTTACACCTTAATAAGGAATAAATAAATAAAAAACAATTTCCCTTAAAAAAAAATATTTGAACCCACTTAGCTCCTTAGGCAAGTGCTAATTGCTTCAATATTGTACTCATACCATAGGTGTATAACAAATATATTTTTATCTAAACCAAGATGGGTATCTAAAATAAGATTACATGCACAAAAATCTTTTATTTTGTCAAAATTTTATGTAAAAAGATGATATTCATTTTTCGCACCTTTAAACATGAATTTTCATTGCAGTCGAAAAATGTAAATTTTTTGCTCAATATTCTGCCTTACATTACAGCTCTTATGAAATCCATCAATGTAAGCTTTGTAGTAATTATTAGTAAAGCAAAATACATTTATCTTTCTATTGAAATGAAAATTTTCATTATATATATTTCACAGTTTTAATATCTATAAATTAAGCAATAACTTAGCTTTCCAACAGCTTTAGTAACTTAGGAGAAAATCCTGATGAGTTATTAATATTTTAGTAAACAGTATGGAAAAAAAATTCTTCCAGAAAAATTTACATTTTTTAATTTAAAAACTAATTAATATTTAAGAGTTTTAGTAGATACTTAAAAACAAATTTGAATTTTTTTTTTTTAAGACAAAATTCACTTCGCTTAATTTACTGAAAGCGTCTTTGGGTTTTCGTTAATAATTTATCTAAAGTACTATTAACAATTTATCATTAAAATTTATTTTGTAGGAAATATTTTCATAACCAGAAATTTTTTTAACCGAAATTTTCACTTCGTATTTCATAAATAGTTTGATGTAAGTACTCAAGTAAATATAAAGTGAATTTTAAGGAAGGACTTCTGTCTGTCTTTCTCTATATATAGATATATACATAAATAAAAGATATAATACAATATCCAAATATTGCTCATCACTAGCTATACATTTTTCCCATCTCTCTGACAATTTATGAATAACATGACAGAAAAACTGTTGCACTTCGGTGGCAAACCAATCATCAAACCATTGTCTTACATTTTCATAGGAGTCAGTTTCTGCTGCTGAGCAAGTGTAAGTCCTATCATTGCCAATAAATAGTAGTCGGACGGAGCCAAGTCTGATTATTTTGTTTAGCTGCATGCACTAATAGGTATTCCTTAAATAACTGATCGGGACCGACTGCTATCTGCCAATGTTTATAACCTTAATTCTGATAAGGCACTGATAATTCCTATCTTCGTATTCATATTTTTTGTATTATATTGGTAGGCAGAATAGTTTATTAGTGTATTTATTATTAAAATAGTGTATTATATTCATATTATATTATTTTGGTAGGCAAAATAGTTCAATGGATATTGTAAAGTTTATATAACTGGGAAGGCTCAGTTGGGCTGGTCATGTCGCAAGGATGGAAGCAGAAGAAATTCCTAGAAAAGTAGTGGAAATTGCCCTTCACGGTACAGGACGGCCTGGTAGGCCAAGACTTCGATGGGCTGATGGAGTGGCAGCGGACGCACGGAGCCTGCTACGGATCAGAAGCTGGAAAGCGGCAGCACAAAATCGGGCCGAATTGAGGAGTTTAAGACCCACCCAGGGTTGTAGCACCACGTAGATAGATTAGATAAAATACTTTAATGTTACTTAAACTAGTGAGGAACGGGTCCTCTTCTCTGTGAGCCCGCCGCCACAAAAATTCACAAATATGAATCAAAGTGTTGTCTGGCAGTTCCTATTTTTTTTTTTTTTTATTTCTCCACTTAGCTGAGCCCCATAATCGTTCTATGGGTTGAGCATGAACCTAACTTGTTGGATCAACAAAATTATACTGGTGATTCACCTGGAAATGATTATAGTTTGCTTCATTCACTTGTTGGGTGTTGTATCCTTTCCAACAATCAGGATAAATGGTGCTTTCCTCTTGTATATTGTTCTTCATACCTTCTAATAAAGTTGTTGCCTTTCTGTCGTTTATTTTGACGATAAAACACTCGTCTGTTAATTGGCAAACTCCGCCCAACATCCATTGCTCAGGTAGAACTCGCCCTACATGATTTTTCCTTTTAGAAAAAAGACTCTTCTACTTCATCGACTTAGCCAGGCCCTCTAAATTTTTTACTTGACCTGTATAACATGTTATGGGCACAAACCTCTCTTAAAAATATGAATAGCTTACATGAGATAAGAAGGGAGGTTATGAGGTTAAGTATTGGTTTTAGCAGCTTGTATTAGATCACATCTACATTCCACATTTTTCATTTCTCACATCAAAATAACAACTTCTTAAACCTTCTTTCTTAATAATAACTTTTTAAACAACTCAAAGCACTATGATTTGCCAAGAGCATGACCACCATAATCTTCAACAAGGATTTGATCCAATTCTGCATTATTTTTTAAAAGGTAACAGAAATCTAATGCGGTCCTCAAATTGCAGTTAGCATGCACAAAACTCGACATACACTATTAAAACGATGCTGTAATATGAAACTTGTATTGTTACAAGTTGAAAATCTTTGTAAGCTGCCAAAGAATCAAAATGGTGCCAATAATGCAGATTAAGAGTAAATGCATTAACAGCTAGAACCATCTAGGAACAAATTACGGTTTTATAATTATACAAGCATGTAGGTGTTTAAAAGTTATTTAGATAATTTAGTATTTAGTAGAGTAGTAAATATAAAATAATTTAGTAAAAAACTGAGTGACAGCTTGTCCTTTGATTTTTCAACATAATAAATTTCAGATGTTACTCAGTTAATCAGAAACATTTAACCATATATTCATGATGAGTATAAAACATTTATAATAAAAATTTAACTTAATTAAAGTATATATAATTAAATATTGTGATTTATAATAATTAAGTATAATGTATGATTATACTATTACTGCTTTATATGTATAAATACATATAAACATTAAGTATATAACATTAAGTGATAAGTAAATGTTGGGAGTTAGTTTTTGTTTGTTTTTTACTTAACTATGTGATTGGTGGTCAGTTGGTTTTCTATTAAAGAAATTTTAAATGCTATTTCTTTGATCAGATGCAATTAGCAATGTACCCAAAATGTGTACAAGACATTTTTAATACAAATTTAATGGGATGAAAATGCAGCGCATGCTAATTTTGCTATGTATCGATGTTACAGTATCTTTGTTACCTTTTTGAGCTAGACCTGGGCACTCTTGAAATAATTATTTCCAAAATAACTCTCCACTGCAATCAAATAAAAAATCCACCAATATAACAAATACATAATATAATCCCACCCGATGAACCTCTAATCCGCTAGTAACAATGACTATAGGGTGCATATTTCGTCCAATACCTTCTACAGTCCAGCTCACATGGGCTGAGTGAGCCCGACCACCTTAATATTATATTTACTCAATATATTTTCTTCTGTTTGAGAAACTTTATTCTTTGTAGAGCCTGATTGTTCCCGACAGTAACTTAATTTTTCTTACGCCACTTTTTGTTTTTTACAATTAGATGGACTTGAGGTATTATAATTACTTCTGTTTGAGCCACTTTAACATTTGTCGAGGGTGAGTGTGACCAACAGAAATTTTATTTTACTTATGCTCCTTTTCGTTTTTTACAATTAGACGGACTTAAAGAATTATATTTACTCCTGATTGAGAAACTTCAATCTTTCTAGAGGCTGAGTGTACACAAAAGAAATTTCATTTTTCTTATGCCCCCTTTAGTTTTTTACAATTGAACTGACTTAAGGCATTATATTTACTCCTGTTTGTGACACTTTAGTCTTTATAGAGGCTGAGTGTGCCCAATAAAAATTTTATTTTTTCTTATGTTCTGTTTAATTCCTTGCAATTAGACGGACTTGAGATATTATATTTACTGCTCTTTAAGACACTTCAGTCATTGGCGGTCCTTTGAATTATAGTTTTAACTGGAACAAAGTTTGGTTGTTATTGTTCCCTCCTTGTTATTGAAATTCCCCCTCTCCAAAAAAAATTAAAAGGAAAAAATAGTTTGGGTAGTTGAAATATATTGCCAACATACCATTCTTTTAAAAAATTCGCGGAATGAATGAAGTGGAGGGGGGAATTCGCCACTACAAAAAAATAAAAAATTAAAGTTGAAAAAGTATCACCCATCAACCCAAACATATTGCCAATTTATCTTTTAAAAAAAATCAGAGCAGAGTTAACCCCTCCCCCCCCCAAAAAAAAAGTTAAACAAAATATCACCTAAACATAATGCCATCTAATAAAAAAAAATTAAGAGAGGGCGTTAATCCTTCTCTCTCCCCAAAAAGCAAAGTAACCCACATACCCAATCATATTGCTATTTCACCTTTAAAAAAAAATATGGGGAAGAGAGGTTAAATCCCTTTCCTCCTCCAAAAAATAAAAGAACAGTAAAATGAACCATCACCCACCTACTCGTAATATATTGCCGAGAGGGGCACCAAAAATTTTGGAAATATATTCACATTGTAACAACAGATAAAATATATTTCTTTGCGAAAATGTAAAATAATTTAATTTTATTTTTAGTTAAATTCATCAAGGCTAGAACTCTATGAGCCTTCAACTTGAGCTTTAGAGGTTCGAGGTTTAAAAGCTCAAGCTTTCACTTCGGACCTCGAGGCTTGTTTTTACAACACTAGTCTAATTACAGGGAATAAAACAGAATATAATGAAATGAAATTTTTGTTGGGCATACTCAGTCTCTATTGACACTAAAGTGACTCAAACAGGTTTAAATATAATGCCTTAAGTCCTAATTGCAGAAAACCAAACGGGCCTAAACGAAAACTAAATTTAGAGTGAACAATAGGATTTTTATTATGGTCATTTCATTCCCATATGCGTTTATCAGAATGATTCTTTCAGAACATTACTTCTGAAATAATCATGACATTAATCCTGAAATAATTATTTCGGAAATAATACTAAGTTATTTCATGAAATAAATTATTTCCTAAATAACTGGAGAAGGCTATTTAAAGATTTATTTCCGAAATATTATTTCAAATGAATTCTGCCCAGGTCTACTTTGAGCAAAAATTGTTTAAAATAACATTTTTCACCCCATTAACAACCCTAATTCTAGATTTAATTATTTATGTTACTTTGTTAATCCTTTAATATAACTCCAACAATTTTAAATATTATTACTACAACCCATGCAGAGTCTGGGCCATGATCATGCTCAACGCTTAGAAGTCTTTACTGGAGGTTCTTCTGACCACAAGGTTGATTCAAGAATGATATAACAAAATAAATAATTATCTGCCATAATCATGCAATAAGTTAGCATGACATGAATTCTCCATTAATAAAATGTGAGATCCTCTCATAAAAAAATAGTATCAATTTTTTCCTAAAAAAAAAAAAACAACAACAAAACTGGCAGTTAAACATAAAGATGGATAAGCAGCTTATAACCAATTAACATTTTAATTTGGCACACGAAAAAAGTAGTAATATAAGAAGTAATGTAAACTCATCAGGAAGCCTCAAAACTCATTAAAGAAATCAATTTCAGAATTCCAATAGTAAAATTGAAACTATTCTGATAGAAGACAACATAACAACCAATCAAATAAAGCCTAACAATCACTGGTTTTGAAATTATCCGTGTTTACATTCAGGTTTGTTTATGTTTGCATGAATGAAAGCAAACAACAATGAAAGCATATGAAAAAGAGATTTGTCGGAAAAAAAAATTCTAGTACTTTTTTAGTTCCTAGACAGAAGTACAATTTGATTTAATATCCTACTATAAGCTTGTTACTATAAGTTTAATTAGTTGAGTGCATTGAAAATTGTGGAGAAGATGGTCTGGATAGTGACAAATTCACATAAATACATTTCTTGGCTTTTAACAAATGATTTCTCACATTTTTTGGAGTTATTCATGATCTATATATATCCAGACTCCAGACTATCTTCTCAGTTTTATTTTACTTTTTTTTCTTCTATGTTCATTCTTTTTTTCTTATGTTTATTAATATGGCTGTGTGTGAGTGCTTAATATATTATATGTACTAATATTAGGAATAATAACAATTATGAGTGTTTAAGCATTAAGAAAACAGACATTGAAATACCTTTACTGTTTTTAAGAGGAGTAGATGCTTTATTCGAAGTTGGTTTCCTTTTCAAGGGAGATGGCGTCAATTTTTGTGAATGCTTTTGTTGTAGTTGCCTAGGTTTAACTTTAGCAATAGGAGTAGATGAATTCATTTGACTGACAGGAGCATCAAATAAATCATCAGCTTCTGATGAACCAGGAGAATAAGGTGAGTCTCCTCCACCCATATCCATTGAATCGTCATTACAATTATTTGGTGGTGATATATTTGCTTTCTCAGGAGTTGACTCTTCTGGGGGTTTAGGTTGTGGAGAATGAAGAGGAGAGGGTGTTTTAGGAGATTCTGGAAGTGGCTTGGGAGGAGAAGCTGGCCTTTGGGGAGGTTCCAAAGGGAGATTTTTTTCAGTAGGAGGGGTAGGATTTCTACTTTCCTCCAATTCTTGTAGAGGTGTTGGCGACCTTGATTTTGTCGGTTCAAAAGGATCATATGGAACAGGTGGTTCCGGTGGAGTATTAGGCCCTTTATGAGGTATTTCTACCCTATCATCATCTTCTTCATCTGCATCTGCATCTAACTGATCAGAACTATCTAGCAAAGGATTAGCCAAACTTCTTAACATTTGTGGTTTGGAACTAATAATATTAAACTTAATATGTGGCTCAGGAGGAGTTTTTGGACCAGTAACTTGACAGGGTGGCAAGTTGTTTTCATCTGGCTTTCTCTTATCATCACTGTCACTGTCAGTTAAAACAATTATTTCCTTTGGTGATAATGTCTGTTCTCTAAATGGTGATTGTGCCAAATCGATTATAGCTACTGGTTTTAGATTTTTCGCATTTATTCTACTTTTCTTTTGAGATGGCTGATTTGAGCTGCTTTTTGAGACAATACTTCTTAAGGGTTGATTTTCCTTTGCACTTTTATCTTTCTTCTTTTTTGATTCTTCATCTTTTTTCTTCTTTGAAGGTTCTTTTCTACTAGCTTCGCCAGATTTTGAAGATTTGAAATTGACACTAACCAAAATATTATCTCCTGAAGTAAATACTTCTTTGGAAGGAACAGGAGAATCACGCCTCCTTTTCAGATCTACTCTATCTTTGTATTTTCCCTTCTTTTTTTCTTTTGCTGCAGGTCCTGTAAGAGGTTTATTAGGTACGATTACTGTTAATTTCTTACTTTTCCTCCTTTCTTGTTCACAACTACTACATGAACAACTAGAGCAGCTTATTGATGAATCCCTTTTTCTTCTTTTTTTTTCTTTACTTTTAGCCCTACTTCTCCTTTCTTTATTTTTCCGGGGGCTGCGGCTTCTCCTTCTTCGACTATCACTTCTACTTCTTGATTTGCTACGTCCCCTACTTCTTTTCCGACTTCTGTCTCTGCTTTTGGCTCTACTTCGCCCTCGACTTCTACCTCTACTTCTGTTTCTACTTTTTCTATCACGGCTACGTCTTTTCTTGCTCCTTGATCGACTTCTTCTCCTACTGAGACTTCTGCTTTTACTCTCGCTAATACTTCTACTTCTTGATGGTGAAATGTCTCTTCCAAATTCATCAACTTTTCTCTTTTTTGGTTTATCACTAATAATCTTACGGACATCATATCTTTCTAGTTCCTTCCTTTTTTCTTTTGGTTTCTTTTCTTTTTTCTTTGTCTTTTCTTTAAAAGTAGTTACATCCTTTTCTCGATAACTTCGTTCTTTAGTACTTTTTGATATTTTTTTCCAAGCAACTGGAAGCCTTCTCTCTTCTGATATTATTTCACCTTCTTCTTCTTTAGGACCATTTTCAGTACTTATCCTAGAAGCTACTTGACCATCTTCTGCAATATTATACTCACAATCAGAAATTGCTTCTGTTTCTAATCCTTCTAAGCCTACCGTTTTATCAGGAGGGGCTTGATTATCTTCGAGTTCCCAACTTTTTTCATATGTACTTATTTCTTCATCAGTAATATCAACTAAACCATCTCGCTCATCATCACCACATCCCAATTCCAAAACATCTTCTCCTTCATGATCAACATCCTTGTCAGAGGTTATTTTTTTATCTGGTGTACTCTCTCGACTCCACTCAAGTTCACGGCGCATTTTATCTGCATCATTAATGTGATTCGTTTCACCATTTTCAGAATTCATTTCAACAGTGTTAACTTCTTCATTTTCATCATTACTAATAGGCTTTATTCCTTCTAATGATGAATCACCAGTTGAATGTTTTTTAATGGGACTGTCTTCTTCACTGATTTTTTCAAGATCAATATTATCTTCTGATTCAGAATCAGTTTGTTTTTTACTTTCTGGAATAGAATTATCTTCCGAGAATGATTCAGTTGAAATTTGTTCTTCTGACTTCTGGATTTTAAATGACTGATCTTTTACCTTAGGTTCTTCAGTTAATACATCATCATCTGACATAAGTGGGTCATATTTACTATTATCATCAATATCATTTAACGAAGTTTTATCTGAAGCATCATTATTTTCTGTATCCTCGACATCTTTTTGCAATTTAGTTTCATCTTCAGGAAGTTTTTCTTCGGGAGCTACTTTCACATCCTTGTCATCATCCATTATGTTAATATCAACATCACTCACACTTTCAGAGTCCTCTTTCTTCTTTTCAGTATCAATTTCATCATTGGGTAAAATATTTGAGTTTACGACATCAGGCTCTTTGTCGGAATCTGACTCTGAATCGCTTTTCGTCTCCCTTGCAATATTAACACTAGCTTCTGAATACATTACTCTATTAGGGCAATCATCAATATCATCTTCATTACTGGGAGATGGTATCCTAGGTGGTGGAATTTTTATATCAATATTTACAGCAGAAATATGATCAGTAGTTTCCACTGTTTCTTTTAAAGGTGCCTCTGTGAACAGAAAAAAAGTTGCCATGAAGTTTAGACAGAAATTTTTGATTAACTAATAAAAGAGTTACATAAATATCAAAGATTTTCGAATTTCTTCTTATGAAATAATGAAAAGGATTAAAAAATATAAACAAACTGTTTTTTATATTGATCAAGAAAAGTCAGTCATGAGTGATTTAAAAAAATAACAAGCTATTTCTTTTTATCGCTAATTGAACTGAGCTCAACAAACAACTCAATTGATCGTCTCTAATTTAATAAAACTTAAATTTAACTTTATTTTTACAAAAAACTTTAGAATTAGAAATCAATAAGATGTAATTACAGATTTAAATGAGAGTGGATAAATGAAAATAAACCTGGGGAAGGAGGAGGTGAAGTTGGAACATCAGGGTCGTATGTTTGCCTGTCATCAATGACAAGCATAGCATCTTCGGGTGAACTCGCAGCATCATCACCCTCTAAGGCTAACAATAATGCAGGAGGCTCTGGTGGTGGAGCTAGTCTAAAACACCAGTTATAAGAAAACAATAAGACAGTTAAAACAATAGAATTTAATAATACTTATTAATCTAGTTAGTAATATGGGTTTAAGTTAACAAGCAATTACAATCTAACTAAGATAGATAACATATGCACAGATCAGACGTTTATATAAATCTATAATAGTTAAATTAAAAGGAAAAATATATAATTGTGGTTATAGAACAAGTATGTGTCAAATTTATTAGTTTCTGGGTATATCTTGTACTTTTGTAATAAATAAAAATTTAAAGAACCTAACAAAATGAAATTGACTTTTAGATACCTTTACTTCTTCAACAAATATTAAAACAAAATTTTTGTTTATATAAAGGAATTGATAGAAAATTTCAAAACTTATTTGTTGAAAAATTGTTTTTATTTTCCCTATGTATTCAAAAGAGAACCATATTTTGAAATATCTGAAAGATATATCTGACAGAAACTAAATGATTTAACACAATTTCAATGTTTGAAAAACAATTACATCAGATGGTATCGAATAAGATAAAATATATAGCAAAAAAATCAACAAGCACTTAAACTAACTAATTGGTAATGAACTATACAACGTGAGCAATGGAAACATAGAGAAAATAAATTTGAATTTGCTTACGGTGGATCGACTGGAGCTTCAATATCTGCATATAGATCAAAATCTTCATCATCATAAGCTCTTGAGAAAACTGGTGGAGGAGGAGGTGGAAGTGGAGGAACTGATTCAGAAGAATCCCCACAGCTCTGAGAAGTATTTTCTTCTTTTTGGCAATTCTGGTTATTAGTGCCATTAGCGGTTTTCTCTTCATTGCCAACATTTTTTTTCACTCGAATATTATCTGCTTGATTGTGAAGAGTCACTTTTACTTCACCATTACTAGACAAATTAAAGAATATATGTAATATTGATTAAATTGGTTATACCAATCATTATTTATATTATATATTGTATTATATTAAAAAAGGTTAAAAATTCACTTATAATTTTTTAATATTCCTATTTATTTATTATTCTTTTTTATAAAACTCTGAAGCAGAGATTTGTAAAAAATATTTTAACTAAAAAATAAAAATTACAATAGTATTTTACTCAAATAATTGCGCGGTTCGATCATCGAGTACTTTAATCACTAATTAACTTGATGATAAACGAGTACAGTACAAAAACTACTGAGATGTTCTCGTGAGAACTTTCTATTTTCACATTTACTCAGAATTATTTTACTTTGAGTACTTATCAAAGTAATCAAGTACTCAAGTACTTCATTCGACAAATTACAGGAGCAGAATATTTTATATTTCTTCAATATTTGTCCAGTCTTATGTTATGAGAATTATAGTTTTTAAAAATACTGTACTATCAATAATAACAAATCAATAAATTATCGAATTATTGAAATATATTGTCGGATTTGAGAATGTGCAACCGCACATCAAGAAACCTGTAGAATGAGGCATTGGGCACGAAAACAGTACGCTAACAACACTCATAGGCCCTAAACTAATCCTTAAAACACACTGATAATAATTCACAGGATAACCAACCTTTTGACTGCAAATACTGATTTGGGACAAGTACTGTTGTCATTCTCACTGATTCAATTATTATTCTAAAGGGACTTTTCTCTGAATAAATAACACATAATATTATTATTATTAATACAATATCATAACTGTATAAAAAGCAACTTTTTATATCTTTTTGTCAAAATTGTAAGTCTTTATATTAGGTCAAAGAACACAAAACAAAAACAAGTAGATATGTGTTGAGGCAACATGATCTGTACCTTTGAGCACCATCTACATGATAATATTCTATATTAAACAAGCAAGTCTAGCAATCAGTGATAAGACTGCAGAACTGATGAAAGAAGAAATCACTAGCATAATGGAGTGAGCGATAGGCTGTTGTACACAATTAAAATCAGGGCAATATAGAATGTTTTTTGGGAGGAAGTCAACTGGGAACAGATGAAAGGTCTAAGACCACACCATTTATGGAAAGAATGATTTTGGATATCTTCACTCTATTTTTAAAATAGGAAACAAATCAGATCAAAATAGGGTTCATTAGCACAATTTGAAAAAACAAGATGTCTTATTATTTATACCATTTTGTATTTTACTATTATTAATTTGTTTTTTAAATTCATAAATTTTAAAGCAAAATTCATAAATAAGCAAAGTAATTTTCATTTCTAATGACAATAATGAATTCTGAAGTTTTCATGGAAGCTTGTACAGAATACTTAATAAAAAGTTAGAGCTATTAATAGCGACCTAAATGAAAGAATAACTTTTTAATTGATTAAAACTTGACGAGATTATTGGAACGAAACCTCCCTTCTTATCTTATATCAGGGAACACACTTCTTATTCCGTGTAACCTCTTGTTATCCTTCAGTTACTTGTGCGTTATTTAATTGTTTTCAGTTTTGTTAATTTTGTTATCTTCTGTTCAAATGGACTACACTTTGGGAATAGCAGTCTTCAGATGAAGAAGCTATCAATTACTTTCAGAAGTTCGGGACGATTCCAAAGGTGAAATTCTGTGAAGAAGGTTTTAATCGAGTTTGATGGGAACACAAAATGGAGATGTTTTCGCAGCAGTAGGAAAAAAGAATCTATAAGAAAAGGAAAATGGTTAGAAGAGTCAAGAATTACCTTTTAAACAATTTTAAATTTATTTCATAGCTGGTCTCATAATTTAACAGCAATCCAGTGGGGCAAATAGCAGCCAAACTATCCAACAAAAATGTGGTCATGTGGAACAGATTTTTAAGAGAGGTTTGTGTCCATAGCATGTCATACAGGTCAACTAAAAAAATTGGAGGGCCTGGAAAAGTGGTTGAAATAGACGAGTCTTTTTTCTAAGAGAAAAAATCATTTAGAGAAAGTTCTCCCTGAACAATAGATGTTTGGCGGAGTTTGCCGAAAAACAGACGAGTGTTTCATGATAAAAATAAAGGAAAGAAGAGCAACAACTTTATTAGAATGTATGAAAATAATATAGAAAAGATAAGCACCATATATTCTAACTGTTAGGAAGGTTACACCATCCAACAACTGAATAAAGAAAAAGTATAACCATTTCTGAATCAACGGTATAACTTCGTTGATCCTTTAAGTGGGGTCCATACTCGTTTCGTTCTCCATAAAACAATTATGGGGCTTAGTGAAGTGGAGAAATAAAAAACATCTGGGAACTGTGAGGCAACGCCTAGATTCCTATTTATGTTAATTTTTGTCACGATGGGCTCACAGAAAAGAGGACCCGTTCCTTGCGATTTTAAATATTATTAAGCTATTTTTCTGCCAAAACATATGAAATGTAAAATAAAAGTGTTTTGTTATTATTATTACATTTGTTTTTGTCTATTTCAATTTCTATAAACATGAATACAAAGGTAGGTATTATCAGTGTTCAGGTTATAAACACTGGCAGATAGCAGTCCGTCGCGACCAGCTAAGTCACAAGTACCAGATAATCCTATGAAATATTGTCATTATTTCCATTCCATTTAGTCTACCATGCAAACATAGACTACTGCGAATTCATAAATTTTGAGCCTTTGCTTGTAATTTATAATGTAAATATTAATTTCAACCTATAAAAATTTATTTTATAAATTAGTTTAATCTAATTAAAGGATTTCATAACAGAAAACTTTTAAGGCGTTTTTATCAGAGCTTACTCTGATTGTATTACCTATTACTCTGAATGACAGCATTAGGTGAAAGCCATTTTTGCTGCTCATTTAATATGGACGATAACAGATCTGGAGGAGCTGTAGCCAAACCTACTCTTGGAACAGGTCTTCTGGGAGCAGAACGCAAAATCTGAGCAGCGATTTGCTTTCTCCCCGCCATACTTCTTATTCCTGATGTACGTGATCTTAATAAGCCTAACCCACCACTGCCTTCTTCATCTAATTCATCCTCTGCTTCACATCTAAAACAAAAATTTATGAGCAGTTCAGACTTGATTAACTCTATGAAGACTTAAAGTTGGTGAATAGTATGTGAATAGTAGTGAATGGTTGGAAGATAGTAAGACATTGATAGGATAAATAAATGAGGAAAGTTCATTCAACCCATCACAACTCTTACAGATATGATCTTAATCAACTGCTAAAAACTTGTAAATTCAATGTTAAAAATTTTCATAGCAATCAGCATCAGATTAATAATTCCATCAATTCAATATACAGGTTATAATGTTTTGAATGTAATTTTTCAAAACATTTTTTGCATTTATAAGAGCGAGACAGATTGAGAAACATTGAAGAATTTTTTTAATTAACTATTTATAATAATTTTCTAACATTAATAAATCCATCAGTTGACAACGAGACAGTAGAGCAGAGCAGAGCACGGCACTCTAATTCTCTGGAACCTAAGAAAGTAAATAATTCAAAGTTTACTCAAATGTCTTGCTGTCAACTGGTGGATTTATTAATGATAGAAAATTATAATAAATAGTTGATTAAAAAAATTCAATTATTTTTGGCAAATGATAAATATGAACTTTGAAATTCATCAAATAAACAGTTCCTAGAGGGTAGGCAGGATAGGAGTTTTAGGACGATCAATTGCTGGATTATTATGCCCGTAACAGATTCTAGAGTTTAATAATTTTTAGTATTAAAGCATTCACTTAAATAGTATAACAATCTTTAAGTTTGATATCAGTCATACCCTGAAAAATATTCTAACTGCGGTCTTGAGCCAAAAAGATCAAGTGATTTTACATCATTCAGATTTGTTCTGAAATTATCTGTTGCTCCAGATTCTTTTGAAGAAACCAACTTAAATGAGTGATTAACCTAAAACAGATGAAACAAAGCTCAAATCAATGAGGTTAGTAACTGAATAATCCATTAATACAAAACAGACTAATTAACCACAACATATAACAATTTATACACATCCACAAAATTGAACACAAATACTGTTATATAATAATTTATAATGATGATGAATAAATTAACCATTTTAAATTAAAATGTATTAACCATTTTCTAAAATTAAGGAAATATAATATTGATACACAGAAGTTTATGGAATAATAACACTTGGAATTTACAACACTGAAAATGGTACCATGTATACATACACTATTGTACAGCATTTAATAGAGCATGACCCCTTTTAATAATGTTTTAGAATTACATGCATGATCTGAACTCTGTTACAAAGATTTTTATAAACCAACACAATTTACAGTTAGGAAACCGGATAACAATTCAGGGTAAAGTAAACAACATTGTTATATTGGTACAAAATGTTAATTCTTAACTCCAACATAAAATATATATATATTAAACTCTAGTATATTAACCAAAAAACAAACAAAATGCTGATTATATTCATCAAAAATTGACTAAGTAAGGAGTTTTCTGGAAGTTTCTGAAAATACCTTAGAACGTCCTCTACAAGCATTAGCCTTCCTCTTCTTCTTTCTTCGTCTTCTAGTATTAACAGCGACTTTTACCTCTATTGTTGATCCATTTTCAGCTGTTATCAATTCCACTTTATAATGAGTTCTTCTTCTACGAGACCTTTTTCTTCTTTGAGTTCGTTGATTAGATGAACGAGAAGTTGAAGTAGATGGCTGTAATAGTTCATTCTAGAATCACGTTGAATTTAACTGTGTTAATATTACAGTTATATTTGAAGATGAAAGGTGCAAATCATTTTACATATGTACCTGATTTGCCATTTCCCTAATGTTACTAATAATCCTTTGTGCAGCTCTTGTACGGGGACCAATTCTCGGGGGCCGAAGACGGGAAGGCCTATCTCGTAGCCTGTTTTCAATAAGAATACTTCCTCTTACCAAGTCCTGTACTTCATCTTCATCAATATCCTAAAAATTGTGGTAACTTTTCATATTCAAGTTTTATCACATATCTCTTAAAATACCATTTATTTTTAGAATGGTTTTTCTTTCTTTCTTTAAAAAAAAAAATATATATAATGAAAAGTCTAAACTTAAGATAAATCACTCGGGAATCAAATTAAAGAATTGCTTTCTGATATATTTATCATGAAAATATTATTGTCAGCAAAGTTTAAACCTAAACAAGAACAAGTTCTGTTACTTATTGTAGACAAACTTCATCTTACTCTTACCATGAATTAATATTTTAACTAAATAAATTTCAAGGTTTAAGTCCTTCACTGTATACAGTTATATAAAGCATTTTTTATATATTTTTAATATTTAATATTAATTTAATTAATTATTATTAATTAATTTAATAATTTTTATATTAGAATATACAATTAATATCAATTAAGTAGGCAATTAACCACTATGCTTCATAGGATAGAAACTTAAACAGTTTTAAAAAAAGTAATACAATTAATAGTGGATTATTTATTATTTTGAAAAATTACAATTTTTCCCAAATTAATAAGTGAAACCAATGATCAGACTGAAATATATATGTATATGTATCTATTTTTTTTAAATGTATTTTTATCAACAAAAAATGGCTAGTAACGTAAACATGTGAAAATAGAATGTTCAGATAAATTTAATACATTAAAGATTCTTGACTATACACTTATACTTTGTTTCACCAAATAAAAAAAATTAAATAACAACAATTAAAGAATGATTAATTAAAAATGATATGAAGAAAAAAAATCAAAAACAAATGAAATTGTCAATTTTTTTTATTAAGTTTAGAAAATCACATATTCAAAAAAATTGAGACAAATGGGACAAAGAAAAAGAGTCTACTATAAGGAGACCGTGTCTACTGACATTTTGTAGCGAAGAACAATCAGGGCAATACCAGTCTCCAATAGGAACTTCGTCAAGTGGGGGATTGAGGCAATCAAGGTGGTAGCCAGCTTCACATCTATCACATAATAGCATTTCATGTTCTCGGTCATGTTGATTACAGACCTAAACAAAATTAAAAATTCTAATTAACTGAAGAACAAAATGAAACGAATAAACTATATACAAACATTAAACTGCTTGTACAAATCATTTATCAGCCAGTTTCATTCTCATATAAGGCACAATGTTAATACATTTAGTTCAACAAAAAATATACTTAGAATGAAGCAGTAGATTTAAAAAGATTGATTACAGATATGATAAATGTAAATCAACTCAAGGCAGGTGTAACATTGTTTCCAGTCAAATAATTAAAATGGTATAATATCAGTTTCTGAATGAATTCATCTTAAGAAGAAACTTGGCAAAAATATAACCAAGACCGTTAAAAAGTTGTTCGGCTGAACTCTTGAATAGTTTTTAAAAAGATTTTTTCATCAATTTCTTTCAAATGCAATTGTAGAAAAACAAAAATTCTATACTAGAAATAAAATTAAGCTAATCTTAATAACAATAAGAATAATGATCATTATTTAATGAGATAATAAATTCTGATGCATAAATATGTACATACATAGTTAGAACATTTAAAATTATATTGGCTTAAAAGCCAATATTGAAAAATATGAATCAATAATTCAAAAATAATAACTATAAATTATTAAAATAAAAATAAGCATGTAGTTAAAAAATAAAATAAAATACCTCACAGAAAGTTGTATCATCTGGCTCAATGTCATTATTATGATCTTGAGGAGGAGGAGTAACAACATTATGTCTTACAACTTCACCATTGAAGCCAGTAACAATAACTTCTGTGTATTTAACCCTGTCAATGGGACAAGTGTTGGAAGTCTAGAAAACAAATTAAAAATTCCATTTATAATACCATTATTATTAGAAAAAAATGTTGAAAATGTAAGTATTAGTAGTTCTGCAAATGAAATGAAACTTGAATTTTTATTAATATGAAACTTCTAATAGACATTTTTCATAAATGACAATTTTATTTTCTCTATTATTAATTATAATTATAAAAATAATTATAAAAACTATAATTATTATTAAACTCTATAATTATAAAAATAATACTATGCAAGAATTTAATGACTCTATAATACAAATGAAATTTCAAATTACAAATAAGAGATAACTAAGAACTGTGAAAAGGTTGTAAAATCTTTTATGAAGTAAATCATTTTGATCTACAAAATGATACTCCCTAAATAACGATACAGAATTTTCATCAAAATTTTGTGTGTATATATATACAAACCTTTGACCAAGTTAAAAGACATTCTGAATGAAAATTGTGACTGCATCCAGATGGATGTGCTATGACCCCGTGGAAAGCCTTGAAGCAGATGATGCATTTCTCACCTTCATCACTATCTGAAGACTGATCCTCATTCTATCAATGAACATAACACAAAAATTACAAATACTTTAAAAAAATGTATGTAAAAACAAATAAATCCATTCCCTAATGATACGAAATAGAAAATTAAATCATAAAGAATAACTTACTTTTATTTTGGATTCTTTATCATGTGATGTATATTCTAAAAAAAAGAAAAGAAAACAAATTAGACAAACAATGTATCGATGAACAAACATTTTTAACACAACATCTTCATTTAAAGTAAACAAAATGTAAAAAAACATAGCTTTATTAAGAACCTTTATTTCTATCTATATAAATGATCTCCCATCCTCTATCCTGCACCGTCAATACCACCTGTATGCCAATGATGTCCAAATTTACCTCTACTTCAATCTGACCAATTCCTCTGATGCATCCTAGAGCTCCCCCTCACTCATCAAATCCTTTCTGGTACACCCAATCTTCTTCTGAGCAACTCACCAATCTTATTACTTACTTCCGTAAAAAAAACTGGGTGTTACTTTTGATCAAACCCTCTCCTGGAAACCTCACATCTCCTAAATTTCCCGTCTTAATATCTTCACCCTGTAAAAGTTCAACCGTCTACACCATCTCCTTTCACATCCCTTCAACTCCTAGCCTCTCTCTTGTTTTTCCACACTTTGACTCTGACTTTATGGTGTAAGGCCAAACTTAAACACCTAATGAATTGCCCAATACATTTTATTTCGTTTTAGGAATCTCAGGAGATATGCATATTACACCGAGTTAAAGAGGCTCTATTCATCTCATTCTACCGCCACCAGTATTTCCTAGCTACCTTCTTGTACCAGGCCATTAGAACTCTGCCACCTTCCTATATTTTTTCATAGCTTACAATATAATAACTCCATTCAAACCCATCCCACTAGATTTCATATTTCGGACCGCTATCCTCACCGAACTGCTGGGTTTAACAATTCCTTTCTAATTCAAGCCGTCTCCCTTTGGAATTCTATCCCTCCTGATATTCGACAAGTACAATCAGTTTCCTCTTTCAAACCTCTGCTCTTTAAACATATACTCCTTTCCCAATCCGACTGACTATAAAATGTAACTAAGAGAACTATTTAAGTACCTTCAGAGACCAGAGATAGGCAAATGTTATTTTGAGTTCTGAGTACCAAGAATTTTAATCAAATACTGACCTTTTTTTGAGTACAAAATAATTTAATTATACTTCAGTTGATGTCAAAGGACTAACTGAAGAAGTGATTGAATTCCCAAAAGTGATTTAATTTGAGTAAAATATTTGGTTCTTGGTACTCAGAATACCATCACCATCTCTACCAGAGACTATTTCTGTTAACTTATGTTATTTTAGTTTCTTATATTTAAACTTAATATTTAAAATTTTAAATAAATGTATATGCTTTTCTTTTCTCTTTATCTCTCTCTTTCTTTCTGCATTTTTACTTTTAATTAACTATTATTATAAATATTTAATTTATGTACGATCACATTGACATGCATTCTGTATTTAAAATTTGTTCTAAAGGGAAAATAGTCCCAGAATAATAAAATATATTTTTATATCAAAACCAATTAATTTACAAAACAGGCAAGCTTTTTTGAGAAAACTTTAAAAAATCACTACAGCAATAACAGCTGTAAAGTTTATATTTGCTCCATTACGCTCCAGAATTTATCAAACCCAAACAAACAATGTGCTTTTAATTAAACAAAATTTAGTATTGAAACTTAATTACCTTCACTTGAGTGTTCTGAATCCGAACGAAGTGCAGTTCTTGATTTTGGTAATTTTTTCTAAAAATTAAAAAAGAAATAAATTAGGTGGTTACCACTTTAACCAGAAATTGAATAATACATAGTTTTCAGAAGAATGGAATGAATAAGAATATGTAGCTAAGGGCTCCTCAGATGGGTGAAGATGAGTATTCAATACATAACATCATATTTTTGACGGAAGAAGGGAAAAGGAAGAAAAAATTTGCATTATATCTAACTAAGTAGGATCCTTCCACCTCTGGTATTATAATTTATGTATGTATATATATATATATATATATATATATATATAATATATATATATATATATATTCCCTGCCACAGCCTATGCTGACGTGGTGGCATCCAACAGCAGAGCTGGTTTGAAAGAAGAAGTAGAAAGATGCACCAATCTAGTCTAAGAATTGTGAGTGGAAAGGAAAAAGATGAAAAAGGCAGGTGCCAAAACCTAAACTAAACTTTTAAAGTGTACGACTGCTAGGGCTCACCCTATTATCATGAATATAAAAGGGATAAGGATTAGTCCGAGTGAGGAAGTGACCTATTTTGGAGTAAGGTTCGGTAGGAGATGTAATGTCACTCATCAATGGACTAAGTTATATTGGGGGTGCCTTCTGTGGCCTCAGATAGCCGGCAACGATGACTATCTATAATGGAGTAGTATTAGGTATCCTGAGGTACGCGTCCCCAGCTGAGAATCTAAACCTCTTGCAATTACAGAAAAGAAGGTTGGCGACAATCCAAAGAACGGCTCTGCAGCGAGAAACAATATCCTACAGGACTGTTGCTAATGAAGAAGTACAGGTTTTAACAGGAGGTGTATCTCTCGACCTTCTCCTGCAAGAGGATAGGATTAAGTATATTCTTAAAACAGAAGGCTCAGCAGGTCTTCTGGAAAATCTCCAAGAAAGGATTGCAGCAGATCCATCGGAAGAGAATAATATGGGAGGACACCATTGAGCAGTGGAATAGAAGGTGGGTAACTACTCATAAAGGCTCTACGTTCAGAAAATACTTTCCAAACATCTATTCAGGTTATCTATTCAAGGTTAGAAGCGAAATGGGTTCTTCCTGATTATTGGGTATCACAATCTCTCACAGGGCATGGAGGGTTTCACGCCAAGCTTCATGGCTTTGGAAAGGAAATTAAACCCCTATGTCCCTGTTGTGGTATGCTGGAAACTGCTGAGCATCTCTTCAAAACTTGCACCGCTTTTGAGATAGTAAGGGCCAAACTACTGAGGGAAACTGGACTATATATCGTCACAAAGGGCGATTTCCCTCAGCTAGTAGGCAAGGATAAATACCCGTACAACGGGTAGAAGGAATTAGTTGGGATTGATCATTTCTACCTACACTAATCAAGAAGATGGAAGAACCAAGAAAGTGGTAGAGGTATTGTGCTGCTTATTCCAAAAATCTGTGGTGCCATAAGGCAAGGAAGGATGATAATAAAATAAATAATATAATAATTTATAATACACCATGACTCATTTAAATAATATCAGCAATATTTTTTTTAATTTGCAGAAGAAAAAAAAATTTAATTGGTATATAAATAGCTAGAAATCTGGTCGATTTAAAGGCAAAAAATTATTATTATTTTAATCATGTAAAATAAGTTTTTTTTGTCAATTGGAATGAACAGTGAGACATGTGTTCTATATTTTTCAAAATCATGTGTACAATCATCAAAAAAATCGGTTACCCACTGACTGTTACCTCTTCTATCTAGTATTTTAATATTAGACTGTCAGGTCTGTGACATAATGATAATAGGCATCCACACTTCCAATGGATCCATATAGGGACCATAATGTCAAATAATTAAATCTTCAGCATTGGAAGTATAATGGAACAATAAGCAATGGTAAATGGAGAGCAGAGATAGGAAGGGAAAAAAAAGGAAAGGATGAAGAAAAAAAGAAAACCAGAAGAATAGTTGAATCATGAAACAAAACTGTAATTATGCAAGTTTCAAACCAGCTTTGACCATCTTCAGACTGAGTGTATTAATTAAAGATAGGCTATTACATTTCTTTTGTTTTCAAAGATTTCCTTGAATTTTTAGTGACATCTTCTTGTGATCTTTCAATGTTGGTTTTATGTCATAACAGCTATTTTATTTTTTGTTTTGTTTTTTAAAGTTATTTTAGTAAATAGGTAAATCCTTTAATATTAATTTTTTTGTAAAGGTTCTATTTGTTCTGCTTCATTTGAAACAATGGTTCGATATATAGTTTTCTTTCTACTGTTTTTTCAGCACGTTCAACAGCAACATCTTTTTTATTTTGATCCATTTTTAATAAAATTAATTTACTGGCACTTTCGCTCAACAATGTTTTATTATTTTAAACTATTGGAAGATTTGAGTCCCACAGATAAGTTTTAATCACAGGAAGAAATACAAAAAAGTATCTCTACTAATCAATTAAAAACATATTTCAACAAATAATATGTTTGCTATCTATAATTAAATTGTAAATAATAAAGACAGGAATAAACCCAATTCTTCAAGATTAGTAACTCCCTGAATATAACATTAAAATGTAATCTACAAAATGATGTTCAGTGCCATTCCTTTCACACGTTTTCGAGAAGCAGGTTCTAAACAACAATAAATTGGTCTAAATAACAATAAAATTACATTAGAAGAAATTTGATACTTTTATTTATTTTTTAAAATCTTATCTCCCATGATCTCCTAATTTAGTCATATCATTAGAGTGCTACCATTGGGTAGTTACTCAGCAAGTGTATTCATGTCATTATATCTATTATGTCCAAATTTACTTGATGTATTTATGTAATACAGTTGTAAATGTCATTAATAAAATAAAAAAAAAATCTTATCCAACAAATTTATTTAAAAAATGTTCACACCCATATTAAAGAGGCAGAGTAGTTAACTTGCTGTGACAAGTTGTCATTACAACAAAACGTATACAAGTCAGAAACTTTTTCTCAATTGATTTGGACATAATTAGATTCCTTATGAAACTTTACTGCTCTTCATATAATTCTTTTTTAATTTCTTTTCCTTTCTTGTTATGTTCCCTCTCTCTTACCCTCCCTCCTCCCACCCTCCCCTACATAAACATGAGAATATAGCATAGAGTAAATCTTATTTAATACATAAGATGTCTTTAAAGCCATTAGTTCTCAAACTTTTTTACCCTGGCACTCATGTCGGGCTCGCTAATAAGATTTAACAAAGTTTTAGCACACAAATCCTTATAGAGGCATTATAATAGAATCTTTACTTAATCTGTACAATATATATGAACCAAATAAAATTTTTACCACATATTGTTTAAGATTAAAATTATTTTTGTTTTTAATAAATATTTAATTATTACTTTTTAGAATGGAGCTCAACAGACCTCAAAACTATGCAATTTTTAAAAATAATAATTGTCCTCTTTTTTTCATTTTTCTAACAACATAGTTTAATAATTTTCAGGAGATAATCTGGTAAAAACATCATAAAACAGAACAATAGCAAATTTCAAAATAAGAATATTGATATATATTCTTGCACCTTTAATTCCATATTTTGTAATTATTATAAATCTATAAATTAAAACATTTATAAGTCAGTTATTATTTAAATCTCAAAATAATGCTGACTTGAATCATTAGATTTATTTTTATTCAGATTTTTTTAAATTTAAAACATAATACAGCCATAATAACAAAAATGGTCAAAGCTATAGATTTACTTTTTGTTTCATTTGATTCAGAATATAAAGGTACATAAATAAAGACCATTATTTGAGCTTTGAAGTTGTATATCTAAGTTGGACGAAGTTTTTTTTTTTCCGAAAATATGTGTTTTGCACTACTGTGTGACATGAAAACATGGCTACACTAAGTGATAATATTTGGTTTGACAGCATCTCACCTTTTCCTAAACTATTCATTCTCTTGGATCAAATGAGTAATTATGTTTGCAGAAAACATTCCTGTTTTTATTTGAGAAATAAATAAAATTGAATTAAAAACATAGAATATAGAACCCTAATCCAATTTTATCGAACTCTTTTCTAAAGCGTTAATCAATGAACAAAGTACTAATTAGTAGAACAAATACAAATAGTACAAGTGATGAATTTAGTTAATCCATATAAGCTGAAATAGGTTTACAGGATGTGCATGAATTATAAAGAATGATATGTTAACTCTATTTTTATAAATGATGCTCACCTTGGAAGTCCATGGTCGAAATACTTCATCAATTTCTGAATCAGAACTAGTGCAAGATTCTGATTCACTTTCAGATATAACCTGTAATAATAAACACAGTATAAGAGCTAAAAAAACAAATAAATAAAATTAACAATGGTAAATTAAAAAGCAAGAATAAATCAAATACCCTGGTTTTTTTATGAGAAGGTCCAACTATACCACTTCCACTTGATTCAGATGAACTCGAAACCTGATAAATTTAGGATAAAATGATATGATAAATATTTCAATGACAAAAAAAAATTCAAATGAAAATGTAATGATACAAAATTCTCAAATGCAATAATGAAAATAATATTGCTCCCAAAAAAATTTCATAATTTATAAATATCAGTTTTATAAAATATATATATATCAACTTGAGAAAAAAATGCAGTTAAGAATATAAAAAGAACACGATAATGTAATTATTTTATAATTCTATAATAAAAAAATGGTATTAATTAATTATTGCCAAGTTTTTTTATACCAGAAGAAAAAATCTGGTGCACGCAACACAACTTTCACTTACTGCTGAACTTTGAATAGTAATTATTTTCTGGCCATGTTGGACTATTATAAAAAATTTTAATAGCTTTTTTAACAGAGCTAAAGCTAAAACCTTACAGCTAACAAATCTTAATACCATTAAAATAACAAAAGTCCTATTTATTATATCACCAGTTGATTATGGATTGTAGGACTATCAGTTATTAAACAATTATTTTCCATTGCAAAGTTTACTAAAATGGAATTAAGAGAGTTGCAATGTCTGACATAGACAGGTCAAAAGTTGTCACACTAATTGTAAGTGGATACTGTTAGAATATCAAAAAGGGAAAATTCATCAAATTATTCACTAATTTAACTTTCTAAAAGGTTACATCATTTTTCTAAATACACGGACGATGTATACCTAATTATTTAAATATAATATCAGATCTAGAGTTATTAAACTACAGTAAATATATTTAAGGTTATAAACATACGATTTATACGTCCATAAAATATTTTTATATTTCAATTCTTTCACACAAGTCCAAATTAATTAGTATCTTAAACAATGTCATTTGCCTTGAATCCATGGATTTTAAATAATTTTTCAAACTTAAAAATATTTTAAAAGTTTACATTTAGTTAAGTAAATTTCATTTAATTTCCTTGAAAATATGTGATTTACGTTAAATAATGTTAGTTTTCAAAAATTATTATTTATATTTTTTTTTGCCACTCTCGGTTACCTTCTAAAACTTTCTCTATTAGATATTTTTTTTTTTCTAAAATTCTCTACTTTTTAATGGTATATTATACATACAGCTTTGGACTAGTATTTCTGGAGATTCATTTTTCACCTGGATAAAACCTTTTTTATTTTTTTCACCTTTATTTGAGAGAATTGTAAAAATGTGTTTCACTGTAGATATTAATTGGCACTTCCGGTAAATCGATCTTAAGGAAAAAGTTGCTGTAATATATCTATCTTATCAAAGTCATACACGTAATATCACTTAGCATGACTTTTTGTTTTTGAGCTAGACTGTTCACATACACAAACTATTTTGCAGGACTTGGTTATTTGGACTCACGGGACCTCAAAACGTGTATTTCTGTTGAAAACTCAGTTTAGAAAATTTTCACGATCGCAAAACTTTCCCTAACTAATATTACATATATAGGTAAGTGAAAGTAAAAAATAAGATTTAGAAGTACAATACAATTTAATATTTTCATCAATGAGATATCGTTTTTTTAGTATTACAGTACGAACATGCTGTGTTCTAACTGACCCAAGAAGGAGATAGTAAATATTTTAGCTTAATAAAATTGGAATAGCAGCTGATCTTTGTTCCACACACAACATGAGCTTAATACAATATGGACTCAGACAATATTAGACATATACATATGTGATGTTCCTAAATACTATCATTGGCATTACTTAATAGTATAGATTACAATATAAAAATTTAAAAATACCCACAATGAAATATAAATAAATATAGGGGCATTCTTTATCAGTGGCACTCTTGTCGGATTAAAAACATTTCATAACACTTAATTATTTATCATAATTAAAATATGTAGTCGTAAAAGGAAATGGCAAGTATCAAACAAAATAAATATAATACATTAGACAGCCATAAAAAACACACAGTAATTGTTTTAGAGTGGTAAGTGAAAGTTGTGATGCACGCACCGCACCAGATTTTTTAATATGTTAGTGGAATTGTTTAACACTTAGGATAATTTTTAATATATCAAAAACAAAAGAAAGAAAAAAGGTAAGCATTCAAATTCAAAAGACTAATTAACCCTTCAAGGAAGACTAACTCCTACGAACAAATGTTACAATAGCTCGCTCACAACTGGTTGGCAACCCAAGGGCATATATAGGATATAAGTACCAGTAGCTGATAGTGTACCAATACTTGACAGTTTCTATGAAAAATAAGATTTCAGAACCTCGTGGATCTCTTTTCTTAAATTTTTGGTTTTAATATTTTCTTCTTGTTTATTTGTCTGCTCTAGTTTAGTCTTACCGGAAAACATAACCAAAATAATGGATAAATTAGGAAGATCCCTCACAACCTACTTAGTGTCCCAGGAACAACCACCTATCAGTAAGAGAACCATACCTTCAGGGAACTATTTCGCTGGGGCGGCCCACAACTGCGACTGCTTGCGGTTGACCACTGCTTTAGTGGAATAGAAAGGAACCTATTTCGCTGGCGCTGCTTGGCAGTCTAGGTATGATGTCATATCTAAGCTGCTCCTATCTGACCGCACTTGAACCAGTGGAGCTGTTGGCGGTTCGGCGATTGTAGGTTATGTTATCATATTAGAGCATTGTTTTGATAATAACAGTCATGTTGATACGTTTTATTTCCTATGTTTCTTTCAATTCTGGCAAAATTATAAGAAATATTGTTTAAAACTTAAACAATACAATAGTAAATTATTTTTTAAGGTTGAAGTGACAAGATTATTTATTTATTTATTCCACAAACAATATTTTACAGCGAAATTGAAATATACCTGAATCCAAACGATATTAAATAAATTAAAGAATCCAACAAATTTTAACGTCAGGTAAATACTAAAATCTACTAATTGAAAAAATGATTTGTATTTTTTAATTAAAGTGAGGATTTACTGATTACTATTGATAAAACATCGCCTGCTGTGATTTAATTTAATTTACAACAACCTAAGTGAGCAGTTTCAGCGAAATAGTTACGCAACAGCGGTTGACGGCGTGAAATTGTGGTCGCTGTTGTGGGCTGCGCCAGTGAAATAGTACCTTAAGGTTTACCTTAATCAAGTTAAATACTTGGATTTATCTAAAATGTTTTGTTGTTTATTTTCTTGGAGTGTTTATAGATTATATTTTCAACTTATTTTGTTAAAGGAATTAGAAATTTAATGGGTGTCAACTATTAACTCTTATATTGAGTCTTTTGGATAATTCTTGTTTTTATCTATTTTGAAATGTCAACACTTTAATTAACATAATTACATCCTGCTTCTCATCCCTGTCAGCTAGAGGAACATTTCAAGTTGTATGTAAATAGTGTCCGCTAAATAGTGCAACAGAACTGTTCTCTATTGAAACTTAGGTGAATTTTTCATGAATTTTAAATGGGTCTTGGCTAGGCGAGAAGTATTTCTGAAAGATAGATACAAGAAATAGGAAATTATATCAATATTTAAGTTTTTACAAATAAAAGTCCAAAGAAATTTCCATAATTACTTTAAGAAGACACAAGAAATACAATTAATGACACTAACTATTTCACATGATTCATTACAGTCATTGTAAACAACAGAATGAGTTATACAATTCATCAATAGTAGTGAACATTATTTAAATGTTTTTGAAGAAAGAATATAAAAGTAATCATAAGAATATATGAATCCATCAAGAAGACAAAATCAACATGGCCATTGGAATATAACTCAACCAAACAAATTTTTAATATTAACAATTTATAATAATAAAGTAACTCAGATCTCAAATGAAAACTAGCCTTCAAGAAACCTTAATATAGAATATAATATTAAGTTATAGAAAATAGAAAACAAATACTAACTATGTTGTATACAAAAACTTGACGTTCATAAGAAAAAAACAATTTCGATAAACCAAACTTAATATGACAAATAAGAAATTAAAATACAAGATAAACAAACCTAAGTATAATTTAGGTCAAAAATTGAATATGATATAAGAAAACAGTGAAAATCTTTAACCTAATATTGCATAATGTTAGTAAATAGTAATAACTCGTAATTACCCTTCGGCGCCTAACAGTTTTCCGTTTTGAAATGTTATCATTTTCTTCTTCTGAATCCGATGATTCCTTTAAACAAAAAAAATTGTTAAGTGAATAACAGGAATAAGAACAAACATGTTTTGCACTAAGGTCTTAATATGGCCAATGAAAAGTAAATACTGCACAATTTACCTTAAGATATTTCTTTCGCTGATTTTTAATAGGTGAGCCATCAGAATTACTTGAATCACTCTGTTAAAAAAATTAATAACATTTTACAATCCTAATAGCAATCAAACTGCAAAGTGATATAGGCTTAAATTAAAAATAACATCTTACCAACATATTTTTTTTCAAATTGAGTAAATTACAAAACCATCCTATAGAATCCTACAATGAAAAAAGTAATTGAAGTCACAAAAAAAATCGTTAAGATTCCTCTGATAATACATAATTTGGAAGATGGAAAAATAAGGATATTAACACAGATTGATCTAAAGACGTAAGTTCACAATAACCTAATGATAAAGTTTACCTACACTGATAATCAGAAACAATAAAACTGAAATAATCGCTTGGTTGATGTGGTTAAAATTAAAACATCTATTTTTCCCGAAACTGATGACAAACACCAAACGAGAAATGTTAGCAATCTCGGTACACAACCAAGAAGAACTGCACCATTTGTTTATCTACGATTAAATAACTTTTTAAAATTATAAATTACACCAACTAAGCTCATTTAATTAAAAACCATAAACATCGCGTTCGACATTTTAATCACTCCGTAACAAGCGAAAAATAAAATACTAAACCCTTGATCGGCATCAGTAGACAAAATTTCATCAAAATGGCTACTTCTCTTGATCATTAGTTTACCTCTGAACACCAGTAAAAAAAAATTAATAATATAAGAATCTAATCATTATTATATAATTGTTCGGTTTGAATTAAGTAATTTATTATACTTAAATATTTCTAAAATGATTAAAAATAAGTATATATAACATTTTGTAAACTGTATATAATGGACTCCCTTATCAATTCAAAATGGCTGTTGGAAATATTTGAATTACTGTTGGAAATGTACTATTGTAATTCTGCTCTGAAAATAACTATTTGTTTGTTATTAAATATATTTAAAACAAAGCAGTATGTTAAGATATCCTATTCTTGATTGCAGAAAACAAATATGTAAAAGGGTATTTATATAATTCTTTTTTGTTAATACCTTAAAAATAATGTTAAATATTTTTACTAGCTTTACAAATCTTAACTTAATGCTTATAAAATGTTATTTGTACTTATTCATGAATGCCAGCCTTGAATTATTGGTTTCTATGTTTAATGTGTTTGATAAATAAAGTTATTTAAATAAGTACTTCTTTTTTTCTGGGAAGTTGTCAATTTATTTAAGTTGTTTGGCAATAATAACTTCCAGTTGTTAACAATTGAGTATATTTTACTATCAACGTTACATGTTAACAAGTTAGTAGACGTGGCACTATGGCAGAAACCCAATTATTGGTCAAAAGGAGGATGTTGCTCTAGATGATACATTTTAGAACAGAAATTAGAAAATTGACGATGGAGCACATTATTATTATTATTGTTATTAAATTTAAGCCTTCCATCCACAAAAGTATTGGAATTGCAGTTCTGAAGATGGGAATAAAGGTCCCGAAACGTCAACTAACTTGTTAACATGTAACGTTGATAGTAAAATATACTCAATTGTTAACAACTGGAAGTTATTATTGCCAAACAACTAAAATTAAATAAGTACTTTTTTCTATTAGTTCATTGTTTTCAATGACACACTTGTTTTGTATTAAGTTTTAATACAGCAGAATTTACCATATCCTTTTCTTTGGTTTCAATTACACCCTCTAAGTATTATGAGAGAGACATTCAATTTGGAGCACACATATTTGTAGACAGACACCCAATAGATTTTCAGAATACTGACATCTATTAGATATAATTTCTCTTAATTAATATTCAGAAATACTTAGTCAAAATTGTGAAATTCTACTTTATTTTTTTTTTTAAATTTGCTTCATCTTGCCAAATGTTTTGATTTGGCCCAAAGATATTAAATACCCTTTCAATCTGTATTTAGTTGTTGTTTTGACAGGTAAATGTATTATGACTGTACTAATCAATTACAACGGTTAATTGAAATTTTTAACATCATATCCCTTTTTATTTTAACGGTAATCATTTCTATTACAATTTAAAGATTATCATTGCGATTCTGTATTCCTAATTCTAAAATAAATCAAATTAGGAATTTTGATTATTTTTTTCTTAATTAAATCCATCTCAACACAGTAAAACATTCTTTTACTGGTACATACAGCATTAAATATACTAAAATTTTGCTATTAAACTCTAAATTAGGTTTATCTAACTTTGACTACATTATAAGTAAAGTAGTTAAAATATGTTTTTTTTTTGTTTTTTTTTGTTACCCTCTCCCTTGCCATAACTTATATATCATCTGAGAAGTAGCTAATTTTCAAGTGCTACAAAAGCAACTTGTATTTGAACTGTGCATACCTAAACTTCAGTATCATGGGCCTTCTCAGAGTCTGATCAACATTTGAGAGAAAAGTACTATGGCCTATATGGCCCATTAAAAAATGGATTATGAGAACAAACAGGGACGTATATTGCTTGGCTTAATGACCATGACAGGAGGATTGTAAAGATAAGTGAACTATGCTGGATAGGCCATGTCACCAAGATGTGGCATGATAAGATACCAAAAAAACTTGAAGGGAACCTGTATAGAACCCAAATGAGAGGCTGATCAATGCTTTGATGGTTAAATAGTGTTGGAAAAGAGTCAAAAGACCCAACTTGTATTTCATCAATTAATCTGGTGAAATCTGTTTGATGAGGTCAGGACTGAGTAATGGGTTGTTGCCCAGTTGAGTGGGTAGTAAATATTTTTAATAAATTATTAATTCATATAGACAATTATTGACATTTGGTTTATAATTTTGGTTAAACACAATGGTCTGAAAGATATTTTTAGATGTTTGATTTTCTGGGTCAGAAATGTTTTTGTTTTGTTGCTCTTAAAAAGTTACTAGTTAAATATTTTTTTAGTGTTTATAAACCTAAGAATATCAACATTCGATGCCAGTGACCATAATAATGATTATGGTCCCGATAACATTCCAGTCAGACTAATTAAAGCTGCCCTGAAATTCATTCTTCCGATCTTTTATCATGTCTATAATAATTCTCTTCAAAATGCTACCTTCCCGGCATGATGGAAAACTGCCCTAGTACTCCCATTGAAGAAGACTTCTAACCCATCAACTCTTTATGATTTCCCTCCTTTCAAACCTCTCCAACCTTTAGAGCGACTAGTCCAATCCCACTTTTTAGAACAGAATAATCTCCTCTATCACTACCAGAGATGTAGAATACGCGTCGGTTCTGACGACTCCGAAGAGTTTAAAGTGAGCAGTGGGGTTAGGCAAGGGGATTCCCTCGCCTGTCTATTGTTCAACTTGGCAGAGGAGAAAGCTGTAAGAGACTCCGGTATTCAGACCAACGATATAATCTTCAATCGCCTGACACAGCTTCTTGGTTTTGCTGATGATATTGACATAATAGGTAGGTCTGAACGGGCTCTCAGAGAAGCGTTTATAGGCCTTGAAGCAGCTGCAAGACCACTTGGTCTAGAAGTCAACGAGAGGAAAACTAAGTATATGAGAGTTGGTGGTGAGGTGGATCTGAACTCTCCATTTGAGGTAGGTTCTTTTAAGTTTAAGAGAGTGAAATGTTTTATATACCTTGGGTCTGAAATTAATAGCAAAAATGACATGGCTCAAGAAATACAATGAAGGATCACGGCTGCCAATAGATGTGTCTTTGGACTTGGCCGACACTTAAGAAGTAGGTACCTCTCAAAGAAGACCAAGCTGATCATATACAAGACCCTTGTTCGGCCTGTTTTGACATATGGCTCAGAGGCTTGGACGATGAGATGAAGCTGAGTGTGTTTGAGCGAGGATTCTTCAGAAGGATTTATGGTCCAGTAAAGGAGGGTGATGTCTTGAGAAAAAGAAAAAATAGGGAGCTCAGTTCTCTCTATACGGACATCGACGTAGTCAAGTATATTAAACTGGCCAGACTAAGGTGGGCAGGGCATGTGGCCAGAATGAGCACCGTTGAAATACCAAAGAAAATAATGATGGAGGAGCTGCATCTCGTAAGACGGGTAGGAAGGCCGAGGACGAGATGGTTGGACAACGTGGCCTATGATGCGAGAACCCTGCTTGGTGTACGGAACTGGAGAGCTGCAGCAGAAGACAGAGCCAACTGGCGGAGGCTCTTGGAGGAGGCCCAGTCTCGGTAACGGGATATCGTGCCACATATGATGATGATGATGATGATCACTACCAGTCCAGTTTCAGCACTGGCTATTCTACTCAGTCTACCCTAATAAAAATTTCCAAGACGTTCATACAGCCATATATCAGCAAAAACTAACCAAACTTTCTCCACCCTTTTTTACCATCTATATTAATGCCCTCCCATCCTCTATCCTGCACTGTCAATACCATCTGTATGCCAACGATATCCAAATTTACCTCACCTTCAATCCGATTAATTCCTCTGATGTATCTTAAAACAACCAGAAGATATTAACAGAAGATATGCTTGAGCAAGCCTTAACAGGCTCATTTTGAACGCCGATAAGAGGAAAGCCATCTTGATCCCCTCACTCATCAAATCTTTCCTGGTACCCTCCCCCAATCTTCTCCTGAACAACTCACCCATCTTAGTACATACTTTCATAAAAAAAAACCTAGGTGTTACTTTTGATCAAACTCTCTCTTCGAAAACCACACATCTCCTGAATTTCATTTCTTAACATCACCCTGAAACAGTTTAACCGCCTACACTATCTCCTTCCAAATAAGTCCCTCAACTCCTAGTCTCTCTCTTGTTTTTCCCCACTTTGACTCTGGCTCTATGGGTATACGGTGGACTCTCAGGAGAATTCAAAACCAAACTTAAACGCCTAATGAATTGCTCAATACATTTTGTTTTGTTTTAGGAATCTTAAGAGATATGCATATTCCACCAAGTTGAAGAGGTTCTATCCATCCCATCCTACCGCCATCTGTACTTCCTTGCTACCTTCTTGTACCAGGTCATTAAAACTCAGCGACCCTCCTATATTTTTTATAGCTTACAATTTAAATACTCTATTCAAACCTGTCCCACTAGATCTCGTACTTCGGACCTCTATCCTCTTCCTCACCGAACTGCTGTTTTTGAAAAATTGTTTGTAATTCAAGCAGTCTCCCTCTAGGATTCTATACCTCCTGATATTCGACAGGCACATTCAGTAATTCTCTATTTGTTTTATATATATGTACACTTTTCTTTTCTATCTCTCTCTTTCTTTCTGTATTTTTACTTTTAATTAACTATTATTGGAAATATTGAATTTATTTATGACCACACATACATGCATTCTGTACTTAAAATTTACTCTAAAGGGACAACTGTCCCAGAATAATAAAATATATTTTCATTTCATTTTATTTAGATGATTTTTTTAATTTTTAGATTGCTGATGCTGTTGGTATATTTTCAGAAGCAAACTATGATACTTTAAATTCCAAATTGCGTCTACAACATAAATGTGAACATGATTTGTCTTCTGTTTATTTTCATATTTCTACTGACGATCTTAAATCTCTTAATGTTCCTAATATTTATAATATTTTACATATGGAGTGTGATACTTCTGTTAAACAAATCTCAAAAAACTCGATTGAAGGAAAAGAAAATATTATTTTTCAAGTTGACAAAAATGAGCTTTATACCTCAGTTTTAAAATCATCATTGAATTCTAATGAAGGTGAAGTTTTGAGATATTCTCCTAAAAACAATATATTGATCGATTTTAGGTAATCTTATTCTCTTTAAGACTGAAGTAATTGATTAAAAGTCATCATGAATATTTTCTTTATCTTTACAGTTCACCTAATATTGCGAAACCCTTTCATATGGGCCATTTAAGATCAACTATTATTGGAAATTTTGTTGCCAATGTTATGAGCTTATCAAGTAATGTTATAAGATTAAATTATCTTGGAGATTGGGGGACTCAAATTGGATATGTCAAAATAGGTTTGGATTCCTTGAATGTCCCAGATGTTCTTCTTCTTAAAAATCCAATGAAAGAGTTATATAAAGCTTACAGTTTAGCCTACAATAAAGAAGATTCATTAGATAAGGCTAAGGAAATATTTGCTGAATTAGAAAAAAATTCATCAGACTGGACTGAAGAATGGAAAAAAATTAGATTAACGACAGTAAAACATTTGAAGGAAATGTACAGTTCATTGGGAATTTCATTCAACGAATACTTATATGAATCAGATTATCGTGCACAAAATATTTCTCATGTTACTGATCACATGGATGGTATTGGATTGATTAGTAAAAAAGGAAATTGTTTGGTAATTATCTCATTCTATCTGTATTTACTTTTAAGGATGTGTTTTGTAAGCTTTATTTCACTATAATGATAATTAAAAGCGAGCTTAGTGAATCAAAAATTTCATTACCAATAATACCATAGAATAGTATGTTGCCATTCTATTTCTTCTTTCCATTACACTCCTTTAGTAGTTAGGCTTAACTCCTTATATCCACCTCAATATTGAAGTTACTAAACTATCATTTTGACCCATTTGTCGAGTCATAGACACTCAATTGCATCAGCATCAGCAGCCGCTCAGTCTTCCCAACGAGTCATGGAAGTCCAACCACTCCTGGTACCATATATTTGTCCCAATAGGATCCTGAAATGTATTTTGTCTTATCTATTTATCTATCTACATATTTCGTCGTATTTCCATTCTTGTAACGTGATCAGTCCAGTGAAGTCCTGATGCTTTTATGAATGTGGATACATCCACTCCCTGTTCTTTATTTAATTCAACAATCTTATTTCTCTAAGTGCCTTGCTTGCTTTTTCCACCATGTATTCGACAGAGAACTTTCCTTTCAAACCTGAGGAGGACTTGCTCTTGGGCTTTAGTTGTAGTCCAACATTCTGAACGGAATGTAAGCATTGGCCTAATGATTGTTTTATATACTAGTAAGCCCATACGAAAAATTCGGACAGCATATTGTTATCAAATGCCAAATTAATAAGAAAATAAAATAATGCATCGTATCAAAAGATAATGAAATCAATTGTTACTTTATCGGTAAATATAATCGACAAAGGAAACAAAAATTATTTTAAATCTTCATTAATGTTTGGAACCAAAATGTTTACAAATTTCAATAATCTGTATCTTTGCTAAAAATTGTCTGATGGTTTTTTTTTTCCTTTTTGTAGGGAATTTAGTAATCTTTTATATAATCATGGGTATAACCAAGGGAAAAGTGTGTAATTTTTTAGTTTTTCAGAAATAAAGTTTGTTTTCTTTCATAACTAGTTTGCCTGAATTTTTGGGGTGATTGGACTATTTTGACCACCTGAAGGAGATTTAAGCCTTCGAAATTGGTGGCTCAATCTTGAGATTTGGTGAAGCATTAACGATGATATGGCTTGCCAATCAAAAACACCTTCAATAAATTATATAAACTCCTCTTCTCTCGATCATAGAGGCCTCAAGTTGATGAAATGATACATGTATTCAATGACAGTACTACAATTAACATAAGATTGTGTGGATGCGAATCATATGCCTTGCGTTATCTCGAAAATAGTATGATTTTGGGCTTAAAAATGCAGGATCCGATAGTTCTGAAGGAACTATCTGGATCTTACTGTATGCATCAAAATATTCATCACGATCTCTTATTTCTCCTTTAGTTAATTATCAAATTCTTTCATATTTTATATTTAACTGTTTTTATATCAAAGATTAATGTGAAATGGTTAATTATTTTTAAAAAAAAATTAAAATTAAAGCCATTTAAGCTCTGTTAGAAAACATCAATGAGAATAAAACCTGTATTATGCTAAAACATTCTTAATAATATACTGAGTTAATTCAAAATCGTTTATTCGTCGTACATTTATTGAGTCGTTTATGAGAAAATCATAAAAATGTGTTAAATCGATGATATAAAGTTCCACTTCCTATTAGCCGATTTTGACGAAAAAGTTGCTGTAACATTCCAGGCATAGCAAAACCTTAAATATGCAATTTAACTTTCATAAGACTTTTTGTTTTTGATGTATACTGTTAACATACGCACAGACCATTTTGCAGGAATTTGTTATTTGAATTCAGGGAACCTCAACGTGTATTTCCGTTGAAAACTGAGATTCGAAAATTTTCATGATCGCAATACTTTACTATATATTTTATACATAGTTAAAAGAAAGTAATAAGTACTTCTGCACCAACGGTTTTGTAGGTTTCGTCCTTAAAGTATCTCGACTACAATTTCCTACATTCTTCCTTTTAAAAAATTAATAGTTCTTAGTATTAAACCATTTTAATGTTTTCACTTTATTAAGAAAAGCATATTGCTATATTATTATTCAAAGTCATTTTTTCTTCAGGATCTGAGAAATTGACACCGTTTAAGGAAAACAACTTGAATCAATCTTGGTATTATTATTTTTATTAATTTTTTTTAGTTTCAATAATTTACTGTTGTTTTTATTATTGTTATTTCAAATTACTCTTTAATATATTATTTAATGAGTATATATATAGAGAGAGAGAGAGAGATTAGGTTAAGTTTCTTATTGATACTCAACAGCTGTGTTCTTTACTGTCCTTCGAATTATATTTTATTAAACATATTATTTTTCTTTTTAGGAAATCTATAACTGCTTCTATATTGGCTCTGTTATCTCCCAAAATAGTTTCGAAATTTTGTTCTTTTCTCAGATTATGAAAAAAACTTTGTAAAAGGGACAGTCTTGAAAAATATATGACAAATGGTCAGCTGCATCGTGTATATTTCACATTTCAGAGCTTCAAATTAAATATTTGAAATATTCTTTTGCTTAAGTTGGCTTATTTTTTCTTATAGGACCCAACAAATATATTATTTTGAAAATAATAGTTATACTGAACACCCTGTAATTATAACGCAATAAATAGGGGAAATAAATAGTGTATCTACCAGCCAATGGCCTCTACGAATACTGAGTAATTATGAATGGAGGGAAATAACGCTGTCACTTAAGTTATAGGGTCAGTAATACTGTCAATATCCCAATCTTTTCTGCTATATTGAATAATAATGTACTGAAGGTCCATGATACCTCCTGACATGACCGATAATATTTTAATATTTTTATTGCTTCAATAATATTGACCATGTTAGAGCTGCTTTACAAATAACCTCTCTCCATGGTACTTGAGTAACAGCCTATTATTTCATAGTAAAAAACAATTTTTATGCCAAAACTATATATTTAACTCACAAATAAATATATACAAAAATAAAACAAATTGTTTGGCATTAATGTTACCCTTTTGAGGTTGAGGGGTGCCCATCCCTCCCACAGTAGATAGCGCAAAAACCTACCTCCCCTCCCTCTCTCCCAATATATTTGATTGCTCACTGTTTCTTTAAAACGGAGCAAGTGTGGGTATAATTAAAAAAATCATAGATTGTATATAATTACACTTGCTGCACCCTGTTCCATGTTTTCCCTTTGTCCCTTAGTCTGAAACTTTTCATTCTGAAAATTCATAACCACGTCAAAATGTGCCCCCTTCAAAAATTCAAAAACCCATCAAAATATGTCCCCCTCAAAAAATTTCATGGCACAATGTGCGCTCTTAAACCCCCTTCTGGGCACCCCTGTAGAGGTTAATTCTTTAACTTGAATTATAGTTTATGAAAATATTCTTTAAAAGGCATATCTCTGAGAATTTCCTTTCCAAAAGAGCTATCTACTGATCATGAGTTTATTTTTTCTTAGGAATTAAATACATATATAAATTCTTCAGTGACAATAAATCAATTATATCATAACCTCATAAGTTAAAAAAAAAAAACTAGTTATTTATTATCATTTTTACTAAAAACTTTGAAATAATACACTTAAAATGTTTAGATAATTCATTTATGCTTTTTTTTTTTTAATTTAAATATATTGTTGAAATAAAGTGGGTAAGACAATTAATATTTTCATTTTAGTTTTATATAATCTTTTTGTCTCTTCCTAATTGTATGATATCCATTTTAGGCAATGGAAATGGATGGCATAGAAATACCTTTATTTAAAAGTGATGGAACAACCTTGTATTTAATGAGAGACATCGCTTCTGCTCTAGATCGCATTAATAAATATGATTGTGATACTCTTATGTATGTTGTTGATAAAAGTCAATCTGAACATATGAGTAGGCTTAAATTTGCCATTTCTAAATTAGTAGACAAAAATATAGTGCACGTACCATTCGGGAGAGTCACTGGAATGAGTACGAGAAAAGGCACAAGTATTTTTCTTGCAGATATATTAAATGAAGCTGTTAATATAATGGCTCAACAACAAGTCAAGTCACCAAGTAGGCATGTTTTAAATAACTCAACAGTTTGAATAGTTGTTTCCAATGACCTGTTTTACTTTAAATACTAAAATATGGTAATATTTAATTAAATAGTTTATATATATATATATATATATATATATATATGCTATTTTGATGAAATTTTATTGTGTTGATCATTCCTATATTATTATATAGCATTTCTGAGCCAATTTTAACTTTTTCCCTTTCAAACGTAACCCTTTGAGGTTAGCTTTGAATCAAAAAGGGTTAAATTTGAATTGGAAAAGTTTACAATTGGCTTAGAAATGCTATAAATTACATTTGAAATATTATTGTGCATTTAGAAGTCTTAAAATCATATTTACTATATTGCGACAGCTTTATGCCTTCAGAAATGTCTGTTCCCTAAATTTTAGTGTAAGTCTTCTATTAGTTAAGTTAATTAATTATTTTTTAATATTGTCTAATGTATGTATTGAATTAGAAAAATTAATTTAGACTTCTATAATTAGATTTCAATTAATAAGATAAGTAACTATGATTTTGATCCTTTATTTCGATTTCAGACACTAGAAGTTCCGACTCAGAAGTGACTAGAGTTCTTGGCATAACCTCTTTATTGGTATATGTTTTAAAACACAGAAGGGATCGTAATTTTCTGTTTAGTTGGCAAAATGCTCTACAGGTAAAAGACACTAATATTTTTAAATATTCTTGTTTACTTTGTTTTATTAATTGAAACTTTTAAGTGTTCGTTCCTTTGAAAATTTTTAGTTCAAATATATTCTGTTATAGATAAGAGTTTGGTACTTGTTCTATTATTGTTTGTACTTCTCTTTCTATCATTTGATTATCAATTAAGATGGTTTATAAGAAATTGGTTTTCTTCTGAATTCAGGTTTTTGACTAGCAGGGGTACCCAGAAGGGAGTTTGATGGCTCAAGGTGCGCCTTAAAAATTTTGTAGGGGTACATATTTTGTCAGGTTTTTGAATTTTTGAGGGGGCACATTTCGGCAGGGTTCAGAATTTTCGGAATGAAAAGTTTCATATTAAGTGATAAGGGGAAAACATGGAACAGACCACAGCAAGTGTAATTGTATATAAACTATGATTTTTCTAATTCTACTTTCACTTGCTCATTATTAAGAAAAGGTGAGCAATAAAATATCTTGGGAGAGGGTTGTTGTGTCTTTGATCTGGGGGAGGGGAGAATGGGCATCCCTGACTAGGGATATATATACTGCATATCATTGATAACGACCTTGTAAAAACTAAGTAAACTCAATCGCTATAAGTAATTTTAAAAAATTACTTGTAAACATAATACAATCAATGTTAGATTTTAATATGAAGAAAATTAATGAGGGAAGATATAGTCCTGGGTCATATATAACTTCAAATAGTGTAAACTATTTATCAAAATATAATTTCTAGTGAATCGTTTACTCTATTTGAAATTATTTATAACTGCCATCCTTTACCATATCTAGATACATATTTTATTCATACTTAACCATTAAATATTCAATATGAAGAAAAGTCATTTTTAGAATCCATTAAAACTACATAACAATATTTTTTTGAATTACCGAACCTGAAATTTTTGCCATAAAAGCTAATACATCATTACAACTGATGTTTTTATAAGCAATAACCAGTGTATTTGTTTTTTTCTTGAAAATAAATTAAACAAAATGAAAATAATTTTATGCCATGATTGTAGTTTTGTCACCTTCCTCAATTGCTGCCAAAAGTCGTTCTTAGATAAACTAACAGCTTATCTTAAGAATCGGTTTATCTAGTTCACTTATATATCTAAGAGCTACTTTTGTCACACAATAATGGAATTTACCATGAATATGATTTTTAATGATACAGATAATTTTTTTTTTTTTTGAGTACTTAATGGTTGACCATAGCATAGTATTGAGGAAAGAGATGGTCTGGGGTCATGGTTATAACAAACTTAGAATAGTGAAAAGAAGTCTTAAAATCAAGCTTTAAAATAAAATGCTTTTTCAATATCTAATGTTTTCTAACCACCACCACCTCAGACCATCTCTTTCCTAAAAAATTATTTGTAATTGTTAATACATTAAAAATGGAAAAGAATATTTCGAAGCATAGGAACAACAATGCATTATATGGATTATCTAAAATAATTGATTGGTAATGAATTGCGGGATTATCCTTATCAATAAATTGATTTATGCCAGATTCTCCTGAAGAAAATGAATGTCTTGACATACAAAGAAGATAATGAATGAGAATCGTTAAGAGCTAGTCAATCCTTTAACTGTTATGTTTCATCTCAAGCAAATGAATTCCTTGTACTTATGTTCATTGTTACCCTCATTACCACAGGTTATAAACTTTAATAACATCAAACATTTTTCAAGTATATTATTCTATTATGTAGGAAGTAATTTCTTATTTTGTTTGTCATTTTTTAAAAAATTACGACAAAATAAATAATAATTCTTTTTTAAAATTTTAATTAATACAGCATGATTTCCATGTACTGTCAATTTTTTATAATGTATAACATTTCATAAAATTAAATCACTAAGTACTTTGATGAATGTTGTTCCTATGAAAACAGAACATTATGAACATAATTAACCTATATTTGGTATGTTAAAGATTTTGTTTAATTCTTATATATCTACTTTGTTTTTATATCAATAAATTATGTTGAAGTTCACAAAAATGTACTTAAAAGTTTAGCTACATCAGGAGTGTACTTGGTGACTTTTTACTCTCGCTTTTATCCTACTTCTGGAACATGTTGGAAAATTATAACTATATTTGGTACTTTTTGTCTAGCGGGCACTGACTGCGATCTGCCAATGTTTATAACCTGAACACTGATAATTCCCATAACGCAGTGATAAGCCTTCTTCTACTTCATATCTTCATATTAATGTTTTAAATTTGTATTATTGAAAATGTAAACAGATACAAAAACAAATGTAATAACAAAAAAAAATACTTTTATTTTACGATACATGTATTAATGAAATAATAAAAAAACACTTTAAGAAGATATATACATATAAAACATCAAAACGAAATAATAAAAAAATACTTGAAGAACATATGTAGATATAAAAGATGAAAATGAAATAATAAAAAAACATTTAAAGAACATATTTACATAGAAAAGAAATAATATCGACACTATGAACAACATATGTACAATTTATTTTCACTTTGTCTTATTTATTTTGGAAGGCAAAATTGTTTTATGCTATTTAAAATCGCACAAATATGAATCGAGGTGTTGTCTGGCAGTTCCTCTATGTACGTTATTTCTCCACTTCTCTGAGCCCCATAATCGTTCTATGTGTTGAGTATGAACCCCATTTGATGGATAGACAAAATTATACCGGTGATTCACTTGGAAATGGTCACACAAGTCCTACGAAAGCATCTCCATTTGGTGTTCCTGGTTAACTTCATTCGATGAACTCGTTCACACAATTTCACGTCTGCAAGTATCCCAAAATTTTGAAAATATTGAATTGCCTGTTCTTCTGAAGACGGCAAATCCCATATTCTAAGAAGATCCATAATATGACGAAAATAAACTGAAAAAAAAATGAAAAATAAACACAAACGGGCCAACAACTAAAAATAATGAAAAATAAACACAAATGGGCCAACAGTAAAGAATTTAATAAGTGAACGTAATAAGGGAATAACTGAAAACTAAACAATGCAATAACTCAAAGGTTTGGTGGGATAAGAAGAGGGAGGTTATGTGACCTGACATTAGATAAGAAGTGAGGTTTCGTGCCGGCCCGCTAGACAAAAAGTACCCTATATTTCTTATTTATTTATTTTTTTTAAATACACTCTAAACTGAACCTTATTGAAATAAAAATTACAGAAAAGCAATAACATTTTTATTGGAATTAGGGGCTAATGAAGGCAATATATTTTTTTTTTTTTACAATTTATTAATTATTAATATTTCACATACTTAGTTTAGAATTTTGACTTTGTTTTTACTATTTAACTTTATTTTACCTATTTAAATTTATTTAAAAAATATTGAATTAGCTTATCTGCTTACCATAAATCTTCACTGAGTATAAATGTTGTTGATTTTGTGAAATCTTAGGCTACAGGTGATACAGGAAGTAAACTGCAGTATACTCACTGTCGATTGTGCAGCTTAGAAGAAAATTGCGGTGTTCTTTTGCCCAAAGAGATTAATGCAACAGTTCTCATGGAACCAATTGTGTTTGAACTTATGTATGAATTGACAAGGTAAAGTACCAGCTTTGTATTTTTTTCTTCTGTTTTTTATTTATGTACTGTAGAAAAGCAATAGGGAAAAGAAATCAAGGAAGACAGAAAATGCTTCAGAGAAATACCAGACAGAACCACGATAACTACTGTTCATTAAGAAAAGAGGGGGAAAAGATATGCAGATGAGAAAAAAGAAAATGCTAAACAGTAGGTTGGAAAACATTAAGAAAATGAACTTAGAGCAAGAGAGTCAAAAGTTTACTGGTCTTAAAGATAAGTAAGGTAAAATATTGGAAGGTCAGGAAAATGTGATAAAAAGATGGACATAACATTTAACAGAGTTATTAAATGTAACTAGTGCAATTGATCCAAATAGTAAAAAATGTTAGTTAAAATAGTAATAAAGTTCCTGAAAATAAAAATGATGAGAATCAAGTAACCCAATCCGCAATAATGAAACCCATTAGAGTAGAAAAAGAAGACAGCATTAGAACCTGTAATAGCCTGTAAAAATTGTAAAGCACCAGGTGAAAATAAAATCATAGCAGAAGTAATTAAAAATAGTAGCATCAAAATAAAAGACATGATATACGAACTAAAATGTAACATCTGGAAAACCCCAGAAAAATGCCACAAGAATGGAATATAGGACTAGTGTGACCTATATTTAAAAATATAGCAAAGAATCTTGCTCTAACTATCGAGGTACCACATTAGGTGCTCTTTAAAGTGCTATCTAATGCCATCATGAGAAAGCTGAACATTTATACTGAAAAGATTTTGGGTTAATACCAATGCGGCTTCCATTATGGAAGGGGCACAACAGATCAAATTTTTGTCTTAATACAATCTATAGAACTTTTTTATGAATATAATTTGGACCTTCACCTTCTATTTATAGACTATAAACAAGCATTTGATAGTGTGAAAAGAGCTGCTCTGTGCAGCATCCTCGAAGAACATGGTATACCTGAAACTTATAAGCCTCATAAAAATGACACTAAGAGATCCTACTGCCAAAGTTATTAGGAACAAAATGGGTGATGCCTTTGATGTTGTCTCTGGAGTAAGGCTGGGTGACGCATTATCGGCGACACTGTTCAATTTAACCTTACATTCGGCAGTTAAAGATGCATTTAAAGCTGAAATGCTAGCCAGTAAAACCTGGAAAATTTGTGTGTATGCAGATGATTTGGTTATTATGACCAGAAGCGAAGCAGCACTAAAGGAAGCCTTCGAAATTATTATAAAAAGAAGTAGCAAGGATTGGACTCACCCTAAATCCAGAAAAAAACAAAATATGTGCTATTAAAAGCCGCAACTAACCAGAGAAACAACAGTACCTCCTTTCTCAATTATAAGTTTGAAAGAGTGACCAGCTTCACTTACTTGAGTTCCTCAATAAATATAGAAAACAAGATCAGCCATGAAATAAAAATAGAATAATGGTCGGAAACAGGGCATATTGTGCTAACTGGAAACAGAAAAATAAAATATGATTACTGTAAGAAACTTTCTTATGTTATAGCTAACTTTTATATTTCTTTAATATATTTTTGATGAGCCCTACACGTTGATATTATGTGTTTTTTTTTTTAGGTTTCAGGATGTTATCAATAGCTGCCAAAATGAATTAGAGTCTTCTTACTTAGTGAATTATGTATTTAAATTATGGTAAGTATATTCATAGTTATTTTAAGCTGTTATTTATTACAAATGTGGGTGATATATTTTTCTGATGAAGCTTTTATACACCTTTGACCTAAATAATTTTCTGAGCTCCCAGCAACATCTATTTCCAGCCATCATGCGTGAATTTATTTCTGTCTGTATGTCAATCTTTTCATTTACATTGGCCCCAAGATATTTAAACTCCTGTACCTGCTCGAAAAAATATTCTTCAGTTTTAAGACTATTCCTTACCCCACAATCATCCCGGGACTGCCCTCAGCAGTTCTTCCGCCATCATCGAAAGTGGCACACCTCCTTCCTGGAAGGCCTATTCCCAGGTTACTCCCAGTCTGCCCTTCCAGGCCCCCTCCCTTGTTTGTTCGCCTAACCAGTCATCCGAAGGGATTGGTTACCACAACCTCAGACTGGGTTGCTTAACGGGCCCACCACGAGAGTAGGTGAGAAGGTGAGAGTAGGATTTGGGAGAAGAGGCTTAGTGGTCCTTGGTGACCATGTGTTGCGCATCACTTCACATTTGAGACCTCTTTATTTTCTACATTTTTTTATTGAACCCATTTAAGATGAATAGAGAACCTAGAGCAGAGATATCATTTTATGTTATTAGCTATTAATTACTTCCAAAATTATTGAAAATTTGTGTATGTTATAATATTATTGTTGTGCAAATTATTTTATGTTTCTAGTAACACTGTGAATCGTTGTTTAAAAAATTTGCCAGTAAAGGGACAGCCTTCAGATATTGCTGAGCAACGATTGTTACTTTTCCATACTGCTAAAACGTTTCTACATTCATCAATGAAGATTCTTGGTTTACAGCCTCTTAATAAAATGTAGATTTTACTTAATTTTTTTTACATATTTATTTTATTTTCCCTATTATGATTTATAGAATTCAGTAACAGCTGATTTGTATTTTTAGTTTGATCAATGTTACAGATTATCCTCATTAAATTAGGAGAGATTTCAAAGACCATATTCATTTAAGAATAGGGTTAATGTTTTCAAATAAAACCAACTAGGAATTTGTATTTATGAGTATAGATCTTCTTTCTCCACCTCCTTTTGTGCCTTTCACCATGGAGGTGCCTCGATCCTTTCCGAAGCAAGTTTGTTTTCTCTGAATCAATTTTACTCCACTATGGGTGATTAGCCTGATAATATATGCTCTGTTACCTTGGGATAACTGGGGACAATTTATATCATCATGAATTTATAAGGAACAATGAACAATGAATTTATGAAGGGGACAATTTATATCTTCAGAAAAGGTGGTCCTAGGGTGAGTAGTGTAGATAACTTGTCAGTATAAGTATACTGTGTACTGTTTGGGTGCGTTTGTGCAGTTTGACACTTGCACATCAGCTAGCCCTTGCGGGCATGCATTAAAGATGGATTAGTAAAATAGCCCATTTGAATTAATATTTTGGTATTAAACTTTTTGTTCTTTATTTTAATCAATTTTTAAAAAGAGCTAGTCAAACTAAACATTAGTTTTCAGCTCCATAAATAATTAAAATCAGATCAACCACAGATGCAATTCATGTTTTGAACAGCCATGTCAATGTTGGCATGACATAAAGTTTACAAACATATAAACAAAATTATATTATATAGAAAAGTTTCTATATTTCCAAATATTCTAATGTTTAAGGAATTATAATCGTATAATCCTAGCTTTTATTGACAATTCTTTCATGTGCATTATGAAAGAAATTAAGAATAATTAATAATTGGTAGATCAAAGAGTTAAAGATCCTCAAATGGTACTGCATTTGAGCATCTTTGAGCATAATTAAAAATTGGTAGATCAAAGAGTTAAAGATCCTCAAATGGTACTGCATTATTAAAAATGGTGAATGAATAATAAATCCAGACTAATATCTACAAATTTCCTAATATCTATATCCTTACCGCTTTCTTGGCTTATTGGTACAGGCTCAATCTGGACTTATTCTAGTGAAGAATTTCTTTTTTTCCAGTAACCACTACAAGCCATGAAGGGTCTTGATTCTAGTGTTAGTAAAATAAAACTTGGACAAAAGTTGTGCAAGGAAATGGTTGGCTAGTGTCGTGCTTAACTACCATTTCTCTCCAAATTAATGGTACACTAGAAATATGGGCTCATTTAGAGGCAGGGAGTGTCCGAGGAGAGTTTGCTTAATCTAGGACAAATGCACAGTTGATAATACAGAATAAATAATTATTTATTGCTAAGCCTACTTACTCTTCAGCAGAGAATTTTCGTTCATTAAAAATTAGGTGATTAGATCATTCTGTTATATTTTAATTTAGAGCAATTCAATGTTCAATCAATGAAAAATTCTTCATGAATCTAGTAAATAGGAAAATTAAATTCAAACAAAAATTTTTATTATTATTAAAGATTTGAGGAAAAATAGTATTTTTTATGTCTGATCCATGAGGATCATTCCCAAATTAACTGTCATACTTTCTAATTGGGAGCTAAGAAAATAGGAAAAATGATATTATTGGAAACTCCTCAAAGATTTATTAAGAATTTTTTTAACTGGTTAACTCATTTTTCAGTTTTAGGAGTATCAAGAAATTCAATTTTTTTTCATCATTAATTTTCCAATATTTTTTAAAATATTTTTTTTTTAAGTGATGGGATTTTTATATGCTATTGATCATTCCACCATTTTAGTACTAATGTTTTAGAAGTTTGGCAATTTTGCATTTACATCCATCTCAATCCCAAATGCAATGTATAAACTTTTGAACATTTAACGTTTTTAATAAAACCTGCAAAAAAAAAAAAAAAAATTACATAACGAGCTCTACTTTGAAAAAGCTTTTTGCTTGCATATATATATATATATATATATATATATATATTTTTTTTTTTTTTTTTTTTTTTTTTTTTCGTTAGCATCACAAATCTTATAGATCTTTTGCCACCTTAATCAGTTTTCTCCATCTCTGCCTATCTTGAGCTATTTCTTTCTAGTTATCTGTATGCAGCTCTATTGATTCAATCCATCCATCTACTTTATGATCTTCCATGTGGTCTTTTGCCTACTATTGAAGCATTCATTGTTGTGTAGAGGCTTCCAGATGGATTGCTCTGGTTATAGTGCCGATGGTTTTTCTTTCAAACCTCTTCATATTTCTTTCTAGGGTGCTGGTTAGTTTCTAGGTAGGTGCTGGTTAGGTCCAGCCATGTATCAGAACTGCCTTTATCATAGCATTTGCCCTGCTTCTCCTATCAGAGTTTTAGTGAGTTTCTCTAATGTCTTCTTGGTTGCATTCAAGAACAACTATATCCTCTGCATATCCAAGGATTTTATGATTCACAGATGTGCACCCCTCCATTTTCATATGATACTGCTCTTACCACCTTTTCCAGTGCTAAGTTGAACATCGGTGAGAGTCCATCTTCCTACCATAAGCTGGTTCGAAATTTGAAGCCTTCACCTACTTCTTGTTTAAAACTTGACATTATATATATATTTGTTTTGTTATGTATGTACAGAGGATTTTTATTTAGTTTTTTAGTGAAAACCAAAAGTTGTGAGTTCTATTTCCATTCCTTTGAATTCCTCAGGTAAAAATAAAACTATAATTAAAAAATATTAATAAATAAAAAGAAAGTGAAGGCGCTACTCAAATACTCAGACCACTGATTATACCACTTAGCATACTCAGGTCCTCACCCTGAGACTCACAGGGATATAAACAACCCCTGTATCTTACATTTCTGGTCCACTTGGTAGGGGAGAGATTTGGGCATATGACTGATAATCCTATCCTTTAAAAACATCTTGTTACAATACTGGTCATGGAAAATCTGACTGTCAACATGGTAACAACCTCCCTGGCCCAGTGGATTACATATTGGCTCATGGAATGTTCTGAGGTTTTCAATATCAGGAGCCATTAAAACAGTAGTCAACAAAATCAATGGAAACTCCGTATGATTAACAGCCACAGAAGAGGTAAGATGACCATAAACTCTTCTCTTAGAAATGAAATTAATGGATGTACAACCAACTAATAATTTACTTATTCCTACCAGGAAATCAGTGTAAAAAAATATGACATAGCTAAGTTGGTAAAGGTAATCATCCAATCATTTTTCTGTTATATTCCTGATTTTGAAAAAAAATTTAACATGTGAATAAATAAACCCAGGGTCACCTTTAAGTTTTTTGTAAAAAGTTCTGTATCATTGTTATATAAATATAATAAAGTTTTAAATATCTTGTACATAAAAGAGATGCTGACTTCGTCTTATTATTATTTATTATACTAAAATCACTTCTCTGTTTCTTCCTACTTCCAAAATCAACTTTATATTCCTCAACTGTTTTATTTTAATTGTTATATTACTATTCTACCTTCAATTAATTATGAATAAAATATTGTTTATTTTATTCAGCTTTTTTTGGAAATTGCCCAAAACCTTTCAATCTTCTGTAGACAAACAGAAAATTATTACCTTGGATTAACTATTTGATTTTTCAAAAGCTTTCAATTAAGTTAATGATGATATCCTCCTTAATAAATTCCCAAACCTCTCGACATCAACAGCGTTTTAAATGCAATATTTTCATTAGACCTCTTGTTAATAATAATTGACTTAAAAATTAGTAGCGGATTCAGGATTTAATATTAGGAGGTTAATGTTTATTAATTATTTTTTAATCACTGACGGATCTATAGAAGAGCATTCTGGCTGAAGCTCCCCAAATTATTTTTTTTTTCTATTGGTCTATATTTTTTCTGAGTGGTTTTATTTTTCATTCAATATTTTTATTTTAATGAGCATTGTAAATATTTAATTTAATTTTATGGCCACACAGGCATTTCCTCTGTATCTATAATTTGTTCTAAAGGGACAAAAGTCCCTGGATAGTAAAAATCTATTTTCATTTCATTTCATTACCCTCTCAGAACTCTCTAAATACTCAAGCAAACAAAATATGAACTCTTTTTAAATTATAACACATGTTTTTTAACTACTAAATGCAAGCAGTTTGTCAAGAAAAAATTATCTCTTCCCCCATTATTGTACCTGTAAACACAGTTAAATATATATTCTTTCTTTTTCTTACAGATAATAAGTGCTAAAAAAAAAATCCTCCCAAAATTCAATCCTGGATAGGGATGGGTTGATACTAAAATTTTTGTATCTAGATACAACTGATACGGGTACTTTTTTGTATCTGATACTTTTATCTGATACTTTTGTATCTGATACAAATGGGTCAGTAGTTGGTAATGACCTTCCTACTACTTTTTATCTGATACTGGCATCAGATACTTTTATCTGATATTTGTATCAGATATTTTTATCTGATATTTGTATCGGATATTTTTATCTGATATTTGTATCAGATATTTTTATCTGATACCCGCATCGGATACTTTTATCAGATATTTTTATCTGATACCTGGACTAGATACCCAGCGGTATGCATGCTGGCGCTTGGTATCTAGTCTAGTCTTGGACTTAATAGTTAATATATAATAGTTCTAATGACTTTATAGTTATGTCAGGTACTATGAAGATATTCACACAGTTTTTAAAACAAAATGTGATTCATATTAGACAAAAGAATGGAATATATTAAATAAAATATAACAAATTCATGCAGAGAAAAAATTTTCCTAATACAACGTTCTTAAGAATTTTGTAACAATTGAAAAAATTCTTAATAGCTACGTTTAACATACTCACACACACATACATATTTTTTATTTTCACTGATCAATCTACATCTTGGGATTTAGATTATATAGGACTTGTATAATGTTTACAATACTATTAAATTACAATACTTTGAACATATTAAATTACATATGTAAATAATTTAAAGTAAATATTAATCCACTCTTTTATTATTTTTTTTTTCATTAATACAATTGTATGACAACAAAAGTAATTTGTCGTTTATTTCAAATTTCAGTTAAAATTCCATAGTTTATTGTTTTTAGTAACTATCTTGCTGTATTGGGACCTTATTGCTCATATTATGTCTTTAATATATCAGTATACTTATGTAAATCCTTCTGTTATTACTTATTTTTTAGTTTTTTTTTATTGTAATATGCATTTTGGCCAGATGTTATGTTAATTTTTATGTACAATATTGTTATTCTCAAGAGACTTTGTCCCAGAATAAAGGTGATTATTTTATTCTATATATATATTTATTTTTTCTGTTTGTATTACAGACCATGTAGATCTTTTGCCACCTTAACAAGTATGCTCAATCTCTGCCTGTCTTGGGCTATTTTTTGCCATTTATCTGCACGCAGCTCTATTGTATCTTTGTTGATTCTATCTATCCATCAGCTTTTTGGCCTTCGACTTGGTCTTTTGCCTACTATAATAAAAATAGCCCAAGACAGGTAGAGATTGAGCATACTTGTTAAGGTGGCAAAAGATCTACATGGTCTGTAATACAAACAGAAAAAAAAAAAAAAAAAAAAAGTATTTCTATATATATATATATATATATATATATATATATATGTTTGTGTGTGTGTGTGTATGTTAAACTTAACTATAAAGAATTTTTTTAATTGTTACAAAATTCTTAAGAACGTTGTATTAGGAAAATATTTCCTCTGCATGAATTTGTTATATTTTTATTTAATATATTCCATTCTTTTGTCAAATATGCAGCATATTTTGTTTAAAAAATTGTGTAAATATTTTCTTAGTACCTGACATAACTATACAGTCATTAGAACTGTTATATATTAACTAAAAAGCCCAAGTGCCAGTATGTATACCGCTGGGTATCTAGTCCAGGTATCAGATAAAAGTATCCGATGCGGGTATCAGATAAAAATATCTGATACAAATATCAGATAAAAATATCCGATACAAATATCAGATAAAAATATCTGATACAAATATCAGATAAAAGTATCTGATACTAGTATCAGGTAAAAATATCCGATAGCAGTATCAGATAAAAATATCTGAAATTAACATTACATAAAAAAAAAAATAAGCTTGAATATATTTATCTACAAATAAATATTTAATTAAATTAAACTAAATGAATAGATAGTTCTAAAAAGATTGTGCACAACTAAAATTATAACTAAACATTTCTCTTATATCAATGTGGCATGTCTGGACAACCATTTTGTATCCATGTGAGCATCAGATACTTTTTGGTTGTATCTACTATTATAGGTATCAGATACTTTTTTAGTATCAGATAAAAGTATCTGATACATACAATCCGACCCATCTCTAATCCTGGATGAGCAACTGATCATAATTACAGAAACCATAACGCTTTTAGTACAAAATTTAAAAAAAAATTTTCCTGGCACATTTTTAGATTGGTGGAGCATGAATCTGTCGACAAAATTGGGACCAACCAATAATTTAGTTTGCATTTCTGATGTTTATGAAATATGGAAGCATGACTTGAAAACTAAAATCCTATAATTACGGTAGCTGCTTGTCCAACTATCGAAAGTCAGACCTAATGAACTATAACCAAAACCTGTACCATTCTTTTACCAACGGTGCCGTTCTTATAAAGATTCTCGTATTTCTACGAGATTTTAAGGTGTTGGGCTGTTCTTACAACAACGTACTTCTTACAAAAGATTTTCGCGAATGTATGATAAATTATATGTTCATAAATAGGTTTGTTTAATTTATGTTCCTTTGTATAAGTTAGGGATTTTCTCCCATACTTACATGTGGGCTAGTATCGCATAAATTTGAGCTACGGTAGGATTGAAGCCATAAGAACGTTTTGAAGATAAGGGTCGTATTTTTTAAAAACTAAAGATTCATGTTTGGCTAAAAATTTTAAATAAAAGTGCAGTATTACCATGAGTGGACATCTCGACTTTTTTTTTGGCTAAAGGCGTGGGTTTTTTCCCCGGGCCAGAGTAGTAGGCGATCCCTTCGTCACGAGGATCGAGGTCGTAATCTTCAGTTTATTATAGGCCGTTTTACACGGTCAAGCCTCTCCTACAAAACTTTTTACATGAACTTGTGATTAAATATTTCGGGTTTCAATTTCTAGGGGTCGTCATCACAGAGTCGATAGACCCTTTTAGACAATCGAAAAAGGCTATATATCTGTGGTGGGGACTGGAGGAAGAACCAGGTTAAACAACAAGGTGATGCATACTGTTCAACCCCTTCAGCTTCTAGCTTATTTTGTTTAATTGTGGAAGCTAATTAAATACATCTCAAACTAAATATTTTTACTCACAGACGAATGAAAATTGCTATTTACATCATCGTACAGACAAGTCAGTTTAATATCGACCTAATAGCCCTAAAAAGTTTAAAATAGTACTAGTAGTAATTTAAAACTGTTGATATAATGATAACTTAATACCTAACCTTCAGTTTTGTCCTCTTCTCTAAATTTCGACGGTTTTTTGAATTATAAGTGATGTGAAAATATAGTATTTTTTATTTCGCTCTGGTATTTGAGGGAATCTGGTAGCAGGGACTTTCATTGGACAATTTTCACTTGAATTCAAACTCCTTATTCTGCAATTTTAAGTTCAGACAAATCTTCAACTGGACCTGCAATGATTTGAGTATTTAGAGGATCTATTCATGCTTATTTTTTAGACTTACGTACATTTGATTTCGAACTGTGAATAAATTACCTTTATTCATTAGTTGAATATTCTAATTCTTGGAAGTACAGGTTGACATAAATAAATTAAAGAATCATGATTTCCTATTTATACATTTTTATTTACTTGTCTTGCGTAAATCGGAATTCCATTTGCATTATTTTTTCATAATTAAATCTTTTAGTGATTTCTGTTCTTCTAATATTGACTCAAGCATTCCTTTAAAATTTTTAATCTCTGTGTTCTCATATAAATTTTCTTTCGAGAGAGTACGAAATAATTGAGAAATGGTTTCAATTTTGTTGTAAATATTCTGGAGACTGTTACTTATATTAGCTTTATTTTGCCTACTGCTAATATTGTTCAAAATATTTTCTATGATACTCTTTGGTAATATAACATTTGACTGGGAATGTCTTGCAGGAATAATTGTAATTGTAGTTGTGACAGACCTCCGTTCTGATAATGCTTTCCTCCATTTTTGGGGAAGAGAATCGAGTCTCTTGGAATATAAGCAAAGCTCTAGGAAGCTAAGAAATCCTGCTTGTTTGGCTAATTGCTGGGTCCGCCCTTGTGCTTCCAACTGTGATATATCATTCACAGAGAGACCAACAATAAGGTTCATCATAACCATAGCAACCAATAATACAAACGTTACAAACATGAGTCTTCCTACTACAAAGAATGCTGTGGGCTCATGAATATTTTCGAACATGCTTTCATAATCAAATTCATTCATCATGACAATAACTTTCACGATAGCTTCAAGAATATTTCTGAATGGGATACTTGCTTCAAAAAGAATCTGGAACGCGAAAGCAAATCCAATCATCAAAAATCCAAACGTTATCAGTACCTGAAACAGAAATATATTGTAGATTTGAGATTTATTAAATGAGCTTATTTTTATTCCATAATTCATTTATTATTTGAGAAAAGATTGTATTTTTACAATTAAGCAGTAATTTTAATGCATTGCATTATTGTGATCTTAATTTGGTTTAACTATTATAAATACAGGCAGGGCCTTCGCGTGAGTTTTTGGTGCCCGTGGCGAAATTTTATCAGGCGGCTCCTCACATGCCTCGAACTCTGCCAGTTTATATTGTCTCATGTTTACGGGTTTTATTTATTGTATTTTATTATACTTTTGAACTTCCTGTCATTACCTATATATCTCTAGCCAGTTGTAATTGCAATTTATCTAACAACGCAGGTGGAACTGAGGTTAGAAATTATTATTGTTAACCAATAACTGAGGTTAACCAATTATTCCGCTGTATGATGTTCTAAGTAAAGATGAAAAGGAATGGATTAAAAAGTAGAAAGCTGATAGAATCAAGACTTTTAAACATTACGCATTCTATACATTTTTCTCCCTGATTCGCGGCGCCCAGTGAGGCGAGTAAGGGGAAACTCGTGACTTAGGCTAAATCTTTTCTTTTTTTTTCTATCGAACTATTCAATAGAAACTGTAAAAAATGTATATTCTGCCAACTGAAAATATTCTCGGTAACTCCACAAGGTACCAATAAAACAGATTATCTAGTTTTTAGGGTTAAAAAAAAAGATAGATTTAAATAGTTGTCGCGAGTTTTCCCTTATTCGACCCATTGTGCAGCGCCCTGGTCACCCTTCCGACGCGACGGCCCTGAATGCAGTTAAATACTTGTGACATTTTTAGTTGGTACGATTTGTACTGTGTTCTACCTAGCTTAAGTAGGGTAGGGTAGGTGGGGTCTGGCTTTTATTTGGATTTTTGTCTTTATAAATGAACTATGTTTGTTGAAAATTCTTATGATTTAAACTTATATCTAAATACCTAATACCTCTTTTATGTAATGTAATTTACTATTGGCATTGTCGAATATAATTAAATAAAAAAGAAAAGAAAAACTGTAAAAAAAAAAAATCAACGTATCAAATAAGAATTGATAAACTTTCTATTTTAAAATATTAAAATTTTACTAACCTTAATAACTTTGGAAGCTACTCTTGAAAACATTAAGACATAAAAACCCCATGTTGGCCACCGAGAGATTAAAAAGAGAAGCTCAATCCAAGAAAGTAGCACAGTTACGGAAGCTAGGTAATGTATCCAGTAGATTTTCGGATTTAATGTTTCTAATATGCAGGCGCTAATGATAACGGACCATTTTACCCAAGATTCACTATCAAGGATATAATAACGTTTTAATTGACTTGCGTTGATTATTTCCTGAAATGTCATGAAAATGTATATTATTTGATTTCAGCTTTAAATATAAGTCATAAACTAACATATTTTTACTTACAACAGTTATTATAGGTATGAGACAGAGGAACATTACAACCCTAGCTGACATCGATAAAACCAAATTTAATGTAGTCTTACTTTTTTCGATGAACGTTATATGTGATACGGTAGTTATCGATATAGTTAATGTGGTGTATAATAATATCATCAGAATGAAATAGGTCCTCAATTTCATCCACTTAAGGTAGAGGAAACTTTCGGTTAGTGGGTGCGAAAGAAGATTTTTTTCTAGGGATTCTTTTCCACAATTGATAATAGCGTCAATTACCTTGAGTTGTTTTTCATATTCTCCCTTTGGCATAAGGATGTCATACTTTAATTCTATTTCACAATCTAAGTCGTGAACTGGAAAATTATTGATTGTAATGTAACAATTAAATATATCTTCTAAAAATTCAACAGGCTTTGGTACACAGTACAGAATTATGTCTAAGGCCGTGTTTTTTCTTGAATCATTAGGTACTGTCGCAGATATGTCGGCACCCATTAATAACATGTAGCGAACACAATCGCTATGCCCCTGCCCGGCAGCGATGTGGAGCGGAAACCACCCAGCTTTATTCTTAACTTCTAGTATGTTTTGATCATAACTAATTAAAGCTTGGACCACTTCTAGATGTCCTGATTTTGCTGCAAGATGGAGAGCCGTTTGTCCATCTGTTTCCAAAAATATATCAACTTTAACACATAACATTTCTTTTACACATTCAGCAAAACCTTGTTGTGCAGCAATTTGCAAGGGTGTCATTCCTCTTCTTTCGTCTTTGCTCTTGACGTTCTTACGTTCTATTCCTGGACTCTCCAGCAAGCATTGTAATATTTCTCGAGAGTTATTACGTACTGCTAAGTGAAGGAGAGTTAGATCACCTGGTAACATAAATGTTGTATCAGCACCTTTGGAAATGAGTAGCTTCACGCAATTCACTTGGTTATTTTTAACAGCACAACAGAGAGGAGTTTCGTGATTGCAGTTTCTGCTCTCCAAAATCTAAAACATTTATAAAATTAATCATTAACATGGAATTCTTTCTCTTCTAATACCGCTGAATAGTGTGAGAGATTTACAAAATTATATCGACGAATTAAATTGGAGTAATACCTACATTAAAAAAATAAATTTTACAAATTCGATAATAATAAATAAAATAATGACATCCCGTACAAGAGCTTGATTAAAATATTTTTGAATCAGAAATAGAAAACAGAATATGTTGATTGAAACTTATTCATTTATTCACGAAACACCTAGCTGATATTTATCAATTTCGTGATACTTATTTTCAATTTTTAATTAAATAGGTTTTAATATTAACTTTAAAGGTTGATTAAATTGTGAAGTATCAACATAAGGATGCAAAATAAATTATTTGTGAAAGCAGTCTTGTAAATTAATAAGGTATATAAAAAAAAAAAAAGACCCTTTTTCAAACAAATATTTGGTATTATTATTTCTTTCATATAAAACACAATCAATGCTCAAGGTATAGTCCATTGTCATCCATCTGCATTAGCCATCTGCTAGCCAATTGCTCGATGCCACGCTGATACCATTCTTTGGGATGGCTGTCAAAGAATTCTTGGACCGAAATTTCAACTCCATTGACCAGAGGGAAATTTCTTTTTTAAACGAGAATTTCTTAGGGCACTGTCATGTTTCTTCTTTGAAACAAGTAACTAAAGTGGAGTTTTTATTGAAGAAGTCGAATGGGATTTAAGAAGCTTAGTGGAAGCTCTAAAGGGATTATTAAGTAGTGGTAAGTATTAAATTTGATTAAAATATTTACAGTCCTTTGAAATATTGAATTTGATAAAACGGTCATATTTTATTTTTTTTATACACCGTATTACAATTTCTTATTTGGTGAATTGTTGCCTTTTTCCCAAATTTTGTGCTTGATCTATTCATATAATTTCTTTATTGGTCTGGATATCCATAAACACTTTGTAGTGTGTATCGATAACTTTAAATAGAATTGAAATAATAAACGAAAATGTGGCCTACGTGACTAATTGAGCATAATGAAGCAGATTCATTATTAGATATGTGTAAAAAGTTTTACAAATTTTGGGCAAATTTGAATTGACTTTCTAAATACTTGATGTTTATATCGAAATCTTCAAACTCCGAATTCTTCTATCTCAATCTACCTATTAACAATAGTTTTCGTATTACGTCAATTTCCCAATCACTTTTATTAAATTTGTATAATAATTGGAGAATGAAATTCATCACTTCTACCTTAATTTTCTTTTGGGGCCAAGAGAATATGGGAGTTAGGAGTACATTATGTTACTTATTGAGCTACCCTCCAGGTTCTTCAGTACTATAACTTAACTAAATAAAGTATATTTAGTTACCTGCTCAGTTTCCCTTAGAGAAAGAAGTTCTTCAAGAATGCAGAATCTACCTCTTTCAGAGGCGATATGGAGGACAGTTTGGTTATAATTTGTTGTAGTTGATACAATTGAACCAGCCTCTAAAAGTATTTCCACACCGTCTGCCCAACCATTATCAACGGCCAAGTGCAGTGGGGTTCTTCCCTTAGCATCCCTTATAGCTGTTATTGACCCAGTAAAGCTGAGCATGCTCCTCAATAGTGTAGATGAAGAGAGGTTCACTGCTACGTGTACGGGCGATAAGCCATCCTCGTCCCAGGTCATCAGGCAGGCGCCCTTTGACAACAAATACTCCGTCAAATGAAGGTCTTGGTTCCTCACAGCTGTGTGGAGTGCTGTCACTCCCTTCCTGCGCTGATTCGCTACATATCCTTCCTTTAAGATTATATTAGCTTTTGGCATTTGTGCGCCACCATCAATTAAACTTTTCATCACCTTGTGAATTTCACTTTCATTCGTTTCGCTATCTCTTGTTTGACATGTATCGCATTCATCTGAAGATATTGGCTGAATGCCCGCAACATCTAGAGGTGATAAGCCTTTTCCGTCGTGTATGCTCAAGTTAGCGCCTAATGACAGTAGGAGTTCAACACATTTTAGGTCACCTCGCTTTGATGAAATATGTAGAGCACAATAGCCCATTTCGATTTCTTCAAATAACTGTAAATGAGATATTATTATGTAGCTAAAATAGAATACATACTATGAATATATGTCTTATACTTAATAGCAATTAATAGGTTAGCCATTCATATCTTCCTCTCCCAATAATACGCATTCACATAAAGCCAGCCATTAAGTTTACTCACCCATATTTCATCTGTCCTTGACCGATTGAGAACATTTTATAAAGTTAAAAAAATAAATTGTTATGAATATATAAGTTTATTTTTTAATAAATACTAAATGATAGTAGTAACTAACAAAACGTAAAAGTTGTTTTTTAGGATGGTATACCGCCTGGACTAATTATACGTTTTCTAATAATTATAAGATTTCGGTCTAGCTCAGGGAACGGCAAACTATGACAATATCAGTGAGGCTCTTTGGATAAAATATTTTTTTTTTTTTTTTTTTTTTGTCTTTTCGGTTATTGTAGAAGTAGTAAACTTTAAATACCAGGTCAGGCCCTCTGAACCCTTCGTGTTAGCAGATTCTTTCAAATCGAAAGAAAATAGCTTGAGCTTTTCTGATCATTCTCAAATTCAATGGTTTTTCCCTTACATATTAGATTTTTAAATAAAGCATTTTACATTTAATTCCTTTTGATTACAAAAAAAAGGAAAGAATTTCAGAAATGATTGAAAAAAACCAATCGCTACAATAGTTTTCCGCAATCAACTGACAACGTTAACATTACCAGCTACCTGGTGAGTTAGGGAAATCAAATTAAAAAGAAAAACCTTTAACATCTAGCATGTACTTCTAAAATAAAATCATATCAAAACTAATGATCTATTTCATACCAATTCCTGATTTTCCTCATGATGATGGTTCCATGAATCAATAGTATCTATGTCTATGTTTTGATTAAGTTGTGGTATAACAGGAGAATTGATCAATTGGTTATCTGAACGGAGAAGCGTCCGAAGGGCTAAGAAATTGCCAGCCGCAGCTGCTAGATGGTGCGGTTGGCGACCGGCGTTGTCCCGAAGTTGTGGGTCTGCACCAGCGCTGATCAGTATCGAGAGAATTTGGTCATGGCCCTTTGCTGCTGCGATGTGACCAGCAGTTATTAAGCTCACTCGACATCTTGCATTCGGTGAAGCTCCCTGGGACAACAAGCTGCAAAAATAAAACAAAAATTGAACGGTATGATTGTCCAGAGACGAATTTTTGGCATTTGGGTAGGTGGGTGGGAGAGGGGTTCTATTAAAGTGTCCACAGAATTTAACAGAAATGTTACCTTATTTGTGGTAAAAATTGTAATAAATCGATTATTTAACTATTTCCTGTTTCTAACTCATTAAAACCGTTTGCCGTGGTCATCGTAGACCCAACTACATACATACACACACACTACATGGGGCTGGGGTTGGCATGCGGGCTCAGCATAGGTAATCATAGTTAAGCAACGCCGAGTGTGGTTAGCTCTTGGATGGGTGACCGCCGCCAATTACCTTCTACACCCCTTTTTCGAGCATTCATTGATTGGACTATTCATGTTTGCCGCAAAAATGTGATAGTCATCATGTAAAAATAGAAGAGTGCCCATGAATGGATTATAGAATTGTAGTATATTTTTCTGCATATACTTTTTTTTAATATAAACTAAAATCTAAAATTTCAATGATAGGAACATAGGGTGTGGTAAAATACAGGCGTATCTACTTCTAATCTTTTGATTGGCCATTTAGTCGACTTTACCTATTTCTTAATTGATTTTAGTTTACGTATTTTATTCATTCATGTAAGTTACTTGTTATTTATTTCATTCGAAATATTGGGGAGAGCGAAACGATATAGATAAGACAATTAATTTCATTGATGTATCCACAACTATCGATTGACATCTATTATGTTAAATGAAATATTGTAATCGACCAAGGAAAAACAATTAATTTCTCCCTCAAATAATACACAATATCACTAGCGGATTCAGGATTTAATTTTGGGGGGGGGCTTCAGCCCGGAAGCTTTTTTTTATATATATAACGATAATTACAAAAAAAAAAGCAAAAAGATACTAACCACCTATATGAAATGGTGTTTAAGTGGTTCTTGAAGTCCTATTAAAAGTAATTAAACGAGCAATAATACTTTAAGGCATAATTTTTTAATATTTTTTAGCATAAAACATGGTTACATTTTACCATTTTGGAGGAGGCTTCAGCCCGAAAGCCCCCCTCCCCCCGTAAATCCGGCTGTGCACAAGATCTACTTATTTCCATATTGGTTTGCTTTTCCTTCACTGAACTAGACTTTCTGCGAATTATTCGCATGGGCCAACTAGTTATTACTTAATACCACTATACCGTATTATTATACAAACTGTAGAGCCCGTTTTCGTTTGTATGCGCTAATCGCGAAAACCACTTGACCTATTTAAACCTTTTTTTTAATCTATCTTGTACCGTGAGAATTTCAAGCTGTTGAAATCCTCGATCTATCAAGTCAAAAGATGATAAAATATTTATCAGTCTATTCTATAAAAAGATTTTTTATGTTACCAATTTTTCTTGTGAACCAGCTAAGCACAGGAACTACTGAACGATTTATAATTTTTTTTTAATCCAACTGTACCACTTTCATGTAGGATTAACAATATTTTTTTAGTTAATATATAGATATACGTGTATTATTCCATGTTCTATGAATAGGATCATTAATAATTGTTATTAATTAGTTAAAACGTATTAAAACAAACAAAAAAGTTGTCGGCTGATTTTCTTGTTTTTTTTTTTTTTTTTTTTTTTTGTATTTTCTGACATCTCTTGGTTACAGTCCTTGCGATTATGAAGAGCCTTTTTAAAATTATTCTAGTTATAACCCAAGCAATTATTAAAACAAGGCATTTTTGCTTAAGTAAAAGAATATAATAGAGCAAACTCCGGGAGTTGTTGTTTTATGTTGAATTCAATCTACAAAATATAAAATAGTTACTTATTTCTTTGTATAAAAATCAACTGCTTTGTTTAGGATAAAAGAAAACAAATAATAATTTTTCTTTTTGGGAGCACGCCTCGCCAACGACCAAACCTGCAATAATTTTACAAAGTTGAAAACTAAACTCCAAAACATTTGTTTTAACAATTTTACTCATATTTTTAACGTTTCCCTATTGTATAAAAACGTTTTTAGTGACCGATATTTTATTTTACATATAACGTGGTATATCCGCAAAACACCGCCGCCGTGGGAGTTTCCGGATGCTGCGCCCTGATCCCATCATTCAGTAACATTTTTTCTAACTGTTATGGATGTAAGTTTTCAGTTATTCTTTCCTTCAATAATTTCTGTCTTTCGTACACCTCTTTCATTTGTGTAAATTGAAAAATAGAGTTTGGACCGCCGTAAGGTGGACAGAAAGCACCCCTCTAGTATTAAAAAAAAATTAAATATCCGTTAAAACTGTTGATACAATACAATTAGTTAAAAATAATACTGAGCTGTACTTTAGTCGACATAATTATTAATTATAAATTGATTAATGATTTTAAAGCAATAGTTTTTATTTTATTTTGATATACCTTATTATTTAGAACCTCATAGTTCTCACATATTAGATTTTTTTTGGATACTGATTCTTTTGGGAGATTGGATTATGTACTTGACTTTAAAACTTTTTTCTGTGTTTGGATATAAATACCCATTTTAAAGAATAATTTAATGGTAGTTAACATTTGATTATTAATAATTTACCGATAAAAATATTCTTCATCTTTTCAATTGTAAAACCAAATGCTAACAAAAGATCTAAGCCGTTATTGAGTTGTAGATTTTAAATACATATAGGATCGTTTTTTATTTATTATGAAATTTTGCAGTAAAATGGATATTTTTTGCAATTTTCTATCCAATAAAATTTGAATTGTAATTTTGGAACTAAAAGAACTTTCCTGGGGTCTTCATTCAGAGTTTGATTTAATTGAATATATTCTGTTATTATGATTTTACGCTTATATATTCTATATTTAATTATTAGATAGTTATATCAATTAAATGGAAAAAAAAGTAAAAGTCTCGTAAAAATAACGAAGTTCAGCATTTTCACTTTTGATGGCTCATCGGTCCCAACGAATTTTGGAGTCGATAGACCCGCGGAATGTAACCTCAATACATCTCAATTTACTTCATAATTTTTACTTTCTGTATTTTTTACTGTCGAGTCCTTGTTAATGGAGGAGCAGTATGGTTTCAGGCCCAATAGAAGCACAAAAGACCATCATGGTAAATATGATTACCCTCAGGCAAATATCTGAGAAGGCAATTGAAAAAGACAAGGAAGTGCTTGCCTGTTTCGTTGATCTGACTAATGCCTTTGACATAATCAGGAGTCGCGACATAGAAGAAGCATTACAGGAGGAGGTGGACATGGAATTACGGGAAGCCATTAGAAGCCTTTATAAAAAGAAGAGGAATGTGGTCATAATATGCAGCATGACATCTGAAGAGTTTCGAACCACTCGAGGAATCAGGCAAAGTTATAGCCTTAGTTCGCTCGCTCTTTTTTATAGTGGTATTGGAAAGGGCCCTGAAAGAAGCACAACAGGAAATAAGACTTTCATTTTGGTTATAGAAGAATGTTTCCCACCCAGTTCACTATGTAGGCCTACATAAGATGACCTAGTTGTCTTTGATAACAATGGAAAAAACCTCCAGTTAAAAGTAAGCTTCCTAAGATATGGACTAAGAGAAATACACTTAAAAACATGGAGATAAATTTAACAAAGACAAAAATCATGCTTGTCGGAAGAAGGACCAACCAGGGAGACCGAGTTATTAGACTAGATGGAACACAAATTGCAAGAGTAACCGACTTCAAATACCTGGGAGCCTACTTAAATGAGAATAGTTGGGTGGACGGAGAGGTCGCGATGGGCAAGTGTGATGGAGCGTTGGCCGTTTTAGCATCCTCGTGCCTATCGACGCCGGTTCAAATCCGGGCCTGGGTGTGATTTCGTGGCGGACCCACGGAATGAAATTCGACGCTTCCACTCTGGTTAGAATAGGTTTGGTTGTACCTCCAGAACAACTCTCCCGTATGTCAGAAATGGAGGGTAGGGGGATATCGAATAAAAAAATAAATGGGGAACGAAAATATAAGAGCGAGAATTAAGGCAGCCGGAAGATGCTTTGATGTTATTAGAAAAGGTTTTTTTGGGAAGAAAAGAGGTTCCCAAAACAACAAAGATAACAAAAAGTCTTCTAAAATACCTTTCTCCCAATCTTCCTAACAAAGAAACAGAGCCAACTACAAGCGATGGAGATGCGTTATTCCGTAGGGTCGAAGGTAAGACAAAGAGAGACCGAGTGAGGAATATCTCTGTCCTATCCAACCTTGGTCTGCAAGATGCAAAGGAAAAAATGGAAGAACACCAGCTAAGATAGTTCGGGCTCGTCTCTTGGATGCCACAAGACAGATTTAGCAAGGCTCACTTATGAAATGCATGTGGCAGGTGGAAGACCTAGAGGGCGACCTAGGAATACCAGGGAAAGTGGAATAAAGGAGTCCTTTGACCGGAGAGGGTTGGATTGGTCGAGAAGAAAGCAATTGGTACAGGAAAGTGAAGTGTGAATCAAGCTCTACAGACGGAAGCCTGCTTAATGATAAACGAGGGTGGATTGAGATAAGATTAAGACTTTCTGTATACTGGAAAAGTTCTTTAACTCAGCGCTGAGCTCATTGATACATCGAATCAATCTCTGAACTAAGCGAAACGACACTACCGGTCACAAGATATAATTTTGGGGAGGGGGGCTTCAGCCCGAAAGATTTTTTTTTCATTCACAAATAACGATAATTAATTTGAAAAAAAAAGAAAGAACCTATGTGAAATGGTGTTTAAGTGGTTCTTGAAGTAATATTAAATGTAATTACAGGGACAAGAATAAATAAACAGATAGTTTTTAATATTTTTTTCTGTAAAACATGGTTATATTTTACCATTATGGGGGGGAGTGACTATAGCCCGAAAGGTTCCCCCCGTAAATCCGCCTGTGCTACCGGTGAGTTCAGCGCTAAGTTTAGGAACTTATCTTATTCATATCTGTTTTGAAATTCAACAATTCGGTGGCTGGGTATTTTTTATTGTTCATGTGTTTGGCAACCCTTCAGTTAAATT